CTGCACATTAGAATCACCTGGGAATCTTTTTAAAATCCTGATTTCTGGGCCTCATCCTCCGGAAATTCTGTTTCTTTGTTACCAGAATTTCCGGAGGGTGAGGCCCAGAAATCAGGATTTAAAAAAGATTCCCAGGTGATTTTAATATGCAGCCAAGGTTGAGAACCATTGATCTATTGGTTTGGGAGTAGGGAATGGCCTGTGCTCCCTACAATTACTTTGTGTGGTTTGGGAGCAATTACTGAAGAGCGGTGGAGAGTATTTTTAGGATTTTGTAGTTACCCTAAGCAGAACTGTTTATTGGGAGGTTTGATAAGACAAGTTAAAGACCTGGAAATGGGAGCAATCTAGTGATTTCTACTCTAATAAGCACTGTTTTGAATTAAGAATACCTCCCTTGTAAACATGCCCTTGCATGCCTGATAGGCGGGTTATATGCCATTCTATTTTCCCAGCAACCCCAAGATTACAGATAACCCACTAATCCCAACGGGTGGACTGTCTTTAGGCCACTGTTTCTGTCAAGGAGCTGGTGTATAAAATTGGCAGATTTAATCTCTATCTTTCATTTTCCTAACCAGGGATGACTTAGGTTAATTCCCTTTCTTCCTTCTCCCATCTCTATTACTTTGATCTTAGAAAATTTCTCTGTGTGTGTCATCCTTTTCTTCCAGTCCCTGTCCAGTGATTTGAGGAAAAGATTTATATTCTGTGTGTTGTCCTTCAGTGATCGAATAAAAATACTTATTTGGGACTGATAGTTTTCTTCATTTAATCTTTATCATAAGTCAGTGACCCATAGGGGGAATAAGTGTAGAACACATAAAAGTTTGATTTACAGTTGGTAATTGGTTTAGTTTGTTCATATTATGGCTACTTTATGAAGGAACAGCAGTAACAATAAAAACCCCAGATCTCATGCAAGGTTGTGGCTGCGAAAATAAGATGCTTGTATAATATATGATAACTTTAAAAAATCTTTTCAATTGTAAGGTTGTTTTTTAAAATAATGAAATATAGAATTTTTATGAGTTCTTGGCCTTATACTTCCATTTTTGGGGAAAGTTTAAACAGTTGTTTCAGGTTATTTTGGATTTAGTTTTAAAATGTGGATTTCCTGCCTGGCCAATGTGGGTTAGTGGTTGAGTGTCATCCAGTGCAACAGTTCGGGTCTAGTCAGGGCACATGCCCAGGTTACAGAGCTCCATCCCCAGCAGAGGACTTGCCAGAGGCAGCTGTTTTATATTTCTATCTTTTTCTCCCTCTCCCTTCCTCTCTCTCTAAAAAATAATAATAAATCAATAAAAACATATTTAAAAAGAAAAAAAATGTGGATTTCCTTTTTTTTTTAAGGGCATGATAGTTTGTTTGAAAAAATTATACTGATCATGATGCTCAGCAAACCATTATTATGGCTTCTTTGTTGGATATTAATAATTCAGTATTTTTGGATGCTGAAATGCTTCAATAGGACCAAGCTATTTATAGAAATAATGAGATCTTTTCAAATGGAAATAAAGACTAGTTGTTTTGGAATTCTACTTCACTGAGTTAATTTTATTTCCTTATGATTCAGTGACACTATAGTGTAATATAAGAAAAAGGAAATTCTTTCATAAGTAAGCAACTTGAGCTTATAATTTCCTCATATTTTGGTCTTCAATGCTCTCTCCACCTTGACCAAAGCACAATCATGGGAGGCCTCAGATAATTTCCATACTGCTATTCCTAAAATGTGGATATTTTTTGCCCGTGTTGTTTACTACTTCTTTGTTTGCCTTGCTCAGTTCATATGTACTAGTTCTTTTATTTCTAGTTTTGCTTTTCCAAATTATTGCTTTTTTTCCCCTCTATGAATTCTTAAGAGTTGTTAACATTGCAGTTATTTGTTGTTAGCCAGTAACTGGTGAATAAGTGATTCAAGCTATTTTCTTTTAACATGATTATATATATATTTTAATATTTCCTCATATTATTAGAATATTTAGGTAATATTTTTCACATAATTGATAGTTATAAATTACTTATTCCTAAATGTTATTGATAGCATGATTATTGAAAGTAAGAAAAATTATTTCATCTGTATAGTTTTGTAAGATCCATATGTAGCTTAAAATACTCCAGGAAATGCTTTTCTTTAAACATAATGCTCAGTATTTAGCAAATTTGTTGATGGGTTAGTTTTTTAAAATTAAATTTTACTTAACAAAATAGCAGTAATGGAAGATGTTACCACCCTTATGAGCTGCTTTGGGAAAAAACACACACATTTATTTAAAAAAAAATATATATATATATATTTTTTTTTTTTTTGTTAATCCTCATCTGAGGATATCTTTTCTACTGCTCTTCAGAGAGAGTGGAAGAGAGGGAGGGAGAGAGAAATGGGAAGGGTAGCGGTCGTACGCTAATTACCATGTTTCTCTTTTATTAGTGTAGATTTTAATATTTCCTCATATTATTAGAATATTTAGGTAATATTTTTCACATAATTGATAGTTATAAATTACTTATTCCTAAATGTTATTGATAGCATGATTATTGAAAGTAAGAAAAATTATTTCATCTGTATAGTTTTGTAAGATCCATATGTAGCTTAAAATACTCCAGGAAATGCTTTTCTTTAAACATAATGCTCAGTATTTAGCAAATTTGTTGATGGGTTAGTTTTTTAAAATTAAATTTTACTCAACAAAATAGCAGTAATGGAAGATGTTACCACCCTTATGAGCTGCTTTGGGAAAAAAACACACACATTTATTTAAAAAATATATAGTTAGCATGACTGCAGTTATTTGGTTTAACTCGGGAGAGGTATATGTGTGTATCAATCTGATTCTTTTATTTTTTTAATTTTTATTTTTTTAATATATTTTATTGATTTTTTACAGAGAGGAAGGGAGAGAGATAGAGAGTTAGAAACATCGATGAGAGAGAAACATCGATCAGCTGCCTCCTGCACATCTCCCACTGGGGATGTGCCCGCAACCCAGGTACATGCCCCTGATCGGAATCGAACCTGGGACCCCTCATTCCGCAGGCCGACGCTCCATCCACTGAGCCAAACCGGTTTCAGCTAAAAAATATTTTTAATGACTTCAGGGAGGAAGGGAGAGCGAGAGAGAGAAAGAAACATCAATGATGAGAGAGAATCATTGATCGGCTTCTTCCTGCATGCTCCCTACTTGGGGCTGGAGCCTGCAACCTGGGCATGTGACCTGATCAGGAATTGAACTGTGACCTCTTGGTCCATAGGTCGATGCTCAACCACTAAGTCACACTGGCTGGGCAAAAATGAGCATTTATTTTGACATATTTGCTTTAGTCTTTTACAAATGGAAAACCCCCTTTGAAAAAGTTTCATTGCCTTTAGACAATTTGAAGTGAGGATTAGTAAAGATGGACTCTAGCTTCACATTTTTGCACATCTTAGGCATAATTATGCAAATGAAGATTATGTAATAAGTATGTTAATTTTTAATCTTTAGAATTTTTTATTAAGTATTTGTTTATTTGCAGGTATATTTGCTTACTTAAACTACCATGTCCCTCGCACAAGACGAGAAATCTTGGAGACCCTAATCAAAGGCCTTCAGAGACTGGAATACAGAGGATACGATTCTGCTGGTAATTCCTTTAAAAATAAATATGAGTTTTGCATGATTACTGAATCTAAATGGAAAAATTTTGTTTTAGGTGACTAGATCCTGTAGTAATGTTTGCTTTATTTTGGGCAAATCTAAAATCTGAACAATTTTTGTCTTTTCTCATACTTAAAGGTTTGTTCATGTAATTTCAATACTATTATCATTTATGTTGAGTATTGCTTCTTATAGGTATCTTTTGTTAAGAATATTACTGTAAAAACATAAATCATCTGGGGCAGTTTCACGGTAGAACAAAGATTTTGAAGGACTTATTCCATAAATTATCTTTTTTCTTTTCTATAAATTTAATTTGATTTTCTCCAGGTATTCCAGACTTTTGGTATGTAAACTTCTTAAGAGTTTTCTACCTTAAATAAATGACAAAGCAAATAAAAATAACTTTTTGTCAACTTTATGTTCTACTTTAGCTTCTTCCCTTAACTGTATTGGGGGTCTCCAAGATTACCCTCAGATTTGATGATTTCCTGGAAGGATTCAGCATATAGTTGTACTCATGGCTATGATTTATTACAACAAAGGAATAGAAAGCAAAATCAGTAAAGAGTAAAGGCACATGGGTGAAGTCTGGAGGAAATCTGGCACAAGTTTCTAAGGGTTCTCTCCCAGTGGAGTCCTACTAGGTGCTCTTAATTCCCCCAGAAAATTTCGTGATAGTTTGTGTGAAATGTTATCTACCAGGGAAGCTCATTGGCACCTGAGTGCCCAACTTTTTTATCGGGGGCTGGTCACGTAGACACCCTCTGTCTAATATGTACCAAAATTACAGACTCCTAGAAGAGAAGCAGTTGTTCAGCATAAGCCACATGGTGTACTGACTGTTTAGGTGCAATGAGCTATTTTTCATCAGAGTGGTGGGAACCCTTGTGAAATCCAAGGCCCAACTTTGCAAGCAGGCATTTCTAAGGATACCAGTGTCAGGCCTACTCTGTTAACTCTTTTTCTGTACATTTAACATTGCCAGCTGTGATGGGCATTTATCTTTCACTAGAGTCCTGGTGCATGAAATGCGTGCACAGGTAGGGTCCCTAGGCCTGGCCGGCAATCAGGGCTGATCAGGGCCTTCCCCCAGCTGCTGGCTGCTGGCCGCAGGCCAGGGCCTTCCTTCATTCTGCACTGCCCCCTGATGGTCAGCGCACATCATAGCGAGCAGTCGAACTCCTGAGGGGACAATTTGCATATTAGCCTTGTATTATATAGGATTATATAGGATGACTTTCCTCAATTAATGGCAAGTCAGTTCCTCAACTACTTTGTTCTTAAAATTCTCTCCTTCCTTAGCTTCTCTGACAACACATCTCATTATCTTCCTTACATACTGATTATTTCTTTTCTGTCTGCTTTGGAGCCTCTTTTTCTTAAATATTAATGTTCTTCAAGATATTGTCCTAGGCCCACTTTTCTTCATGGGTGAGCTCTGACTTCATCAGCTTCCCATATGTTGGTGACTTAAAATCCAGATGTTTTCCCTAAGTTGCACAGCCTCCTAGATATTTCTTCCTCAATAAACCAAGATATTAGAACTTTTGTATGTTTATAATTGAACTGAGTATCCAGTTTTCACCCCACTCTCCAATCAATACTTTCTGTGTGCCTTTTATCACCAAGTCCTTTGTTTGAGCCTAGGAGGTTCCCCAGACTTCTCCTGCTTTCTCATGTTATATCTAGTCATTTCTACTCAATATCACCCATATCTATCTTCATTACCATTGTTTAGTTCAGGCCCTCTTTCTTTAGATTTGCTATAGCTATAACTTCTGAGAACTGGTTTCTTCTTTCTGTTTCTCTAGTCTAACTTCTTACACTGTTTCCAAAGAGATTTTTAAAACTTTTTTTGCCATGTGATTTCTCTACCTCAAATTACTTTGCTTTCCCAATACCTTCAGAATAACTTTGTCAGACTCCTTAGGATCTTAAGTAGAATCTGAAGAGAGTGTATCCTGACATTCTCTCTTTATCGCGCTTCTGAGGTGGGTGCCCATCTTCTGTTTTTCTCTACTCTACTCCATTCACAAGCTAGTATAATACTTTTTTATAATCTGAAACCAGACTGAATGTAATTATTTTTGTCTTTGTCTTCTCAATACACTATTAGAAATTTGTGGAAAGGAACTGGGTTATTTTCATTTTTGTCTGTAGCAGCTGTTCTGGTTCTTGACATGTAATGGATGTTTAGTATATGTTGAATTGGTAATAAGTTAATGAATTAATTAGATTAAAAAATATTTTAATTAAAAATTTTGCCTCACACTGATAATCTAAATAATAGCCAGTTTTTAAATCTTGCTATTCTGTCTTTTGATGATTTAGGTGTGGGAGTTGATGGAGGCAATGACAAAGACTGGGAAGCAAATGCCTGCAAAATCCAGCTCATTAAGAAGAAAGGGAAAGTAAAAGCACTGGATGAAGAAGTTCACAGTAATGTACTTAGTTTAGTTTTTGTCCCCCTCCCCCTTTTCTTCCTTCTCCCTTATCAAATTACCATTCTTCCCATATTTTAGGACCCATTTAGTGATTATTAATATTGAAGGGAGGGGAGAAAAGTAGTTTTGTTACTGTCTGTACTAGTTTTAAAATATACCTGAGCTTCAAAAATGATCATATTAATTAGGGAAGGAAATTAGTTAGGTCCACTGCATTTAGAGTAAGATCAGTATTCTAAAATGAAGTAACCACAGTTTGTGAGGAAGGGCCTTTCATAGGATAAACATAAAGAAGGCAAGTTTGTTGATGGAATGGGAGATAGTCCTTTTTAAAATTTTTTTAAAAAATGTATTTAAAAAGTGTATTTATTTCAGAGAGGAAAGGAGAGGGAGAGAGAGGTAGAAACATCAATGATAAGAGAGAATCATCAATCAGCTGCCTCCTGCACTCCCCACACTGGGGATTGAGCCTGCAACCCAGGCATGTGCCCTTACCGGGAATCGAACCATGACCTCCTGGTTCATAGGTTGATGCTCAACCACTGAGCCACGCCAGCCGGGTGGGAGAGCGTCTTTTTAAAATTTTTTTAAATTAAATTTATTGGGGTGATATTGGTAGACATAGAGGTTGTTTCTACATTTTGCTGCAATGAATCTTGTCATGCTCTTTGTCCACAGTATTTTTTTCAAGTATATAACCAACAGTAGAGGTGCTTGGGCACAGGGTATAGGCATCTCTCTTATAGACATGGCCAGATTGCTCTTCAAAGTGATTTATTAATTTTGGATAATTAATACCAGTAAGGGAATGGTATAATAAATTGTAATGACAGTGAGTGACCATATGTAGCTTTTGAAAGGAGGGCACTGGGTCTGGTTCTGCATGTGGGGACCTGGAGAATTACTTGGAACCTAATGTTGAGTGAAAAAAACAACCAGCAGTATAGGATATGTAAGGAGTAGGACCATTTATGTTGACGTTTGTTATCTCTGGATGTAGGTATTTGAGTCTTTATCATTGCCAGCAAATTTAAATGTTTTAATTATTAAAAAAGAGAAGGGTGACATCTAAGAAAAGGTATGAAGAGGGCAAAAAGCCTTGGGCATGAAGTTGGTGAGAAGACACAAGGTACAAGTAAGGAAATTATTGAGGGGTTACAGCTCAGATAGGTGAAGGCACAGGGAGAGAGTTAATCTTTATAGGAGTCAAACGTAAAAGAAAAGCTAAGTTAGACAGTTATGAGGTAAGAGGGAAAAGCTTAATAAAGTGGAAATTGAAGGAATATAGGTAGAATTGAGGCTTAAGGAGAATAGAAAAGATGTCATGAATGGCTGGGGAATTGAATGACCTATCAGCTTAATGAATAAGGAACATGGGTACATGTTTCTTAAATGGCAACAGTGAAGTAAATAGAGTTGGTAATTAGCATGAACTTGATATGGATTTAATTTACAGATTCCTGTTAAAGACTCTTTCTCCAATGTTGCTTGCCAGCATGTTGGGGGAGATGCTTTAATTATAGTTAGCCTTTTTTAAACTAATCAGATGCTTTTATTACTTGCATTAGCTTGTTAACTAGTGATAAACAGTATCCTTTATCTGGAGGTCATTTATTAGGCCACCTTAATTATTCAGAACACAGGTAAGCCAGGAAAGAATGCATTGATGATTGTATCTGTTTATTGTTGGAGCCATCCAATAAAGATTTGAGTATCTGCCCTATTTATTTAGCTTTTAGTGCTTACAGTTCAAAGATAGTAAGACAAGCTGCTGCTTTTGTAGAACTCAAATTCTGATGGAAGCCAGATTGACAATGTCATAAATGTAATAAATAGTGCAGCAGAGTTTACCATTGTGTGTTTTTTTAAAATATGTTTTTATTGATTTTTAGAGAGTGAGGAAGTGAGAGGGATAGAGAGATAGAAACATCGATTGGCTGCCTCCTGCATGCCCCTTACTGGGAATTGAGCCCGCAACCTGGGCATGTGCCTCCAGCGAGAATTGAACTGGTGAACTCTTGGTTCATGGGTTGACCCTCAACCACTGAGCCACATCGGCTGGGCACCATTGTGGTTTTAAATTTAGGCTCTGGGGTAAACCAGATTTGGGTTGAAATCCTATCTCTACTTACTATTCACTATGAACTTTGGTAGGCAGATTTTGTGATTTCTTTGAGCCTCAGTTTTTTTTATCTGTAAAATGGAGAAAACAGTGCCCCTCCTCCCAGAGTATTCTGAGAATTCAATAATAAAATGAATATTTATTGAGTACCTATTATATACCAGCCATCATTCTAGGTCCTGAGGACAAAACAGAACAAGATAGGCAAAACCCTCTGCCATGATGGAGTTTACTGTTTAATGAAACAGGCAGATAAACATATAATGTTAAGTAGTGATTAGTGCTATGAAGAAAAAGTATAGTAGAGGTGACATTTGAGCAGATGCCATGTGATTGTCTGAAAGAGGGAATTCTGGGCAGAGGGAACACCAAGTGCAAAGACCCTGTGAGGGCTTGGCTATCGTAAAGATGAAAGTCAGTGAGGCTAGGGCACAGTAAGTGAGGAGAAGAGTGGCGGGAAATGAAGCTAGAGAGGTGGCTGAGGGCTAGGTCATGTAGGATCTTAAGAATGATGGATTTTACTGTGTGTGTCATGCAAAGCCATTAGAAAATTTTGTGTAGGAGAGTGACACGATCTGACTTCGTTTTGAAAGGATCACTTTTGTTGGTGTGCAGAACTAGATTGTACAGATGGAAGACTGGATACAAGGAAACTAGTGAGAATTCTGTCGAAGTAGTTCAGGTGAGAGATGGTGGTGGCGTGGGTCACAGTGATGAGGGGTGGGAGATAAGGATAGAAAGGTAGATAGGGGACAGATATGTAGTACCTTATATGCTATGAAAAGGTATTGGGCTTTATTTTGAGAAAATGGCTCTCTGGTTATATGTTAGAATTTGAGGATCTTTTTGCAAATCTCTGTGACTAGGTTTAGGATGATTCATATGTGCATACCGCTTTTTAAAGCAATGGAAGTCTATTCAAGGATTTTAAACCTTATTTCTTGATCAGATTTGTATTTTAGAATGACCTCTCATTAGCCAGTATAAAAACCACAAAAACTATGCTAAAGACTAAGCTAAAGTGCATGGACGTTCAGAGTTCTGAGCAGTTTATTCCTAATTTAGACCTAATTCTGATAAACTTTGTTATCTGATAAGCTTTATCTTAGCTAAATGAATTGTATATTTAGGAAATTAGAAGAAGGGCATTACTATTAAGTAACTAGAACTATCCTTTTTTTTCTCTCTCCCCCTCTACCCCCGGAAGAAGCAAGAAGAGAGAGCTCATAGGGAAAAGGAATCAGAATAGCTGCTTTACAAGATCAAGGAGCATCAGTCTGTAACCCTATATTTTCACAGTGTTGCTCTGTTCACAAGAACCTATTCTTTGATTTTGGAAGTTCTCCATAATTGCAGTTTATATTGTGAGATATGTTTGGGGACCAAGGAAATTATAGTCATAAGGCTGTGTGGCACTGAGAAAATGAATTTATTTTTACATGTCTAATTAAAACAGTACTGATTATTTCCAAAGTGAAGATTAAATATAGATTAAAAAATCACATTAACTCTCTTTGTCCTTAACTCCTGAGTGTGAAAAATTTTAAGCCTTCAGAAAAGTTGAAAAAATACATTAACCACCCATATATTTCATCTATCTTTACCAATTGTTAACATCGTCACATTTGCTTTATCTTTTTTTAAAATAATTGATTTTAGAGAGAGGAAGGGAAGGAGGGAGAGAGTGATGGAGGAAGAGGGAGAGAGAGAGAGAAATTTTGATAGGTTGCTTCTTGCATGTGCCCTGCCAGGATTGATCCCATAACCTGGATATGTGCCCTGACCAGGAATTGAACTCACTACCTTTTTGGTGCATGGGACAATGCTCCAACCAACTGGGCCACACTGGCCAGGGTACTTTATCTCTCTGAATACATTTTCTTGGGTTGTTATTGGAACCATTTGTTTTAAATATTTCAGCTGCATCCTGCATTAACTCCTCTAAATCTTTTAATTACTATTTTGAGTATGCCTGATCTTCAGTTTTAATAATTGTATATTCCAGGTAAACAGTGCTGTAATAATTACATTGAAATATAGTGTTATCTCTACAGCATGATTTAATATTGGAATTTTTCATTTTATCTTCAGAACAACAGGATATGGATTTGGATATAGAATTTGATGTACACCTTGGAATAGCTCATACCCGTTGGGCAACACACGGCGAACCCAATCCTGTCAATAGCCATCCCCAGCGCTCTGATAAAAATAATGGTATGGACATAAAAATGCTTTGGAATGATTGTAGAGGCTCGATAATGGGAAAAGAATGGAAGCTCTTATGTTTTCATAATTTTAATTTGGAAAATTTCAAACATATTCATATATAGAGAATATATAGAACCTGAGGCATCCATTACCCAGCCTCCACATTTATCAATATCTGATCAGTTATGTTTATCCATAGCCCCTACCTAGATTATCTTGAAAGCTAGTAGATATTGTATAGATAGATATATCACAGATAGCTAGATATCATAACATTTATTTTGTAAATATTTAAGAGTGTATTTCTAAAAGGTAAGGATTTAGTAGATTGATATGTCTCTTAAGAGACTTCTCCCTTTCTCTCCTTTTTCCTTACAGTTTACTCTGTTTGTCCTATAGAATTTTCTATAGTTTAGATCATGTTAATTGCATTCATCCTGTGGGTCATTTAATATGTTTCTCTGTCCATTTTTTTATTATAAACTAGAGGCCTGGTGCACGACATTTGTGCACTGGGGGGGACGGGGGAGCGGGTCCCCTTAGCCCAGCCTGCGAACTCTCGCATTCCGGGAGCCCTCAGGGGATGTTCGACTGATGGTTGAGGCCCACTCCCTGCCGGACCTAAGCCGTCAGTCGGACATCCTTAGCACTGCCACGGAGGCGGGAGAGGCTCCTGCCACTGCGCTCACCAGCCGTGAGCCTGGCTTCTGGTTGAGTGGCGCTCCCTGGTGTTAGCACACTCACCACCAGGGGTCCATTTTTTTATTATAAACTAGAGGCCTGGTGCACGACATTCGTGCACTGGGGGTGGGGGGGGAGCGGGTCCCCTTAGCCCAGCCTGCGAGCTCTCGCATTCCGGGAGCCCTCAGGGGATGTTTGACTGATGGCTGAGGCCCACTTCCTGCTGGACCTAAGCCGTCAGTCGGACATCCTTAGCACTGCCACGGAGGCGGGAGAGGCTCCTGCCACTGCGCTCACCAGCCGTGAGCCTGGCTTCTGGTTGAGTGGCGCTCCCTGGTGTTAGCACACTCACCACCAGGGGGGAGCTCCTGCGTTGAGTGTCTGCCCCCTGGTGGTCAATGCGTGTCATAGTGACCAGTCATTCTGCCTTTCAGTCTATTTGCATATTAGCCTTTTATTATATAGGATTGGTACAGTGTTTGTTTACAACTGCAGGTATATAATTGTTAAATGATAACTTTTGAGGTTGAACGTTTTTCTGAAAGAAAGGATTTATTGAGCCATAAGCTAGGCAGAAAAAGGACCAGTTTCTGGGACAGTTTAGACCACCATCAGTAGGGCTAGTTGGGAAGACAAATATGCCCGCCATCCTGGGATTGATGGAGTTCTTTTATACGATGATTTTGGAGAAGAAAGCTGTAAGTTGTTTTGAAAGAATTTACACTGGCTATAGATAAGGGGTGTGGGAATAGGTGAAGCAGGGCTAGTTCTGGGAGAGGTGTATGGTAAGGAAGAAGTGTTTGTTGCTTTTGGATTGATTGTGGGCAACAGCCCAGAAAGTTTATGCGTAAACAGGATGCGGTGGGTGCCGTCTGGTGGTTGGCTATTCTCTCTAGATAAGAACTGAAATAGGGGCCTAGAAGTTGATTCAAAGTTTCAACATACATTAAGGAATGCTAGCAGTCTTTTGTTTGTTTCTGTTCCTGTCTCTGTTAACTGATTAACTCTCCCTGCCTCTTCTTCCCACCCTCTGGCCTGCTGTAATTTATTTTAGGACATCTCAGAATTTCTTTTCTTGTCATAATGTTGGATGTTTTTCTTTCTGTTGTTAGCAGTCATTGATGATCATTGCCAAGATTAATTATTTCTTTAGGGGTTTTAAATTGGTGATAGTCTAGTACTATCATTCCTTCTTTCATTTATTATCTCAAATACTTCCCTATAAAGAGAATCTTCTCCATATCAACTGCTTGGTTACCCTTAGTTACAGAGCATATAGGAAAGGCAGGATTAATATTTTATCTCCCCCCGCCCCCTTCATTTACCATTTTTAAAAAATGAAGTGGTTCATATGTTCTAAAATGAATAATGAGTTCTTTTTAAAATTATAAAATCATGGATTTAAAATATTTCATATGATTCAAAACACTGAAGTAATTGTCTATATTGATGCACAAAAATCTTTGGCCATTGGGAACTTACTCAGGTTGGCTTCTAAGTCCTTTTGACATGACCCCTGTAGACTCAATAGTCTTTGTTATTTTCTGGTAGGCCAAGATGTTCCACGTTCCTCTACTCCTGCCCCATGCTTGGAATCAGCCATTTCTCTAAGGAAGCCCCAGTTCTTTTTAGTGGAAATGATACTTAAAGACTATAAGCCAGGTCTTAGACGTGTTCATCACACATAGGTCTTTTCAGTGGGCAGAGCTAGGAGATACACATACCTCTGTGTGTGCACTTGCACACGTATAAATTTAAAGATAAAACAACATAATTTTACACTAACAATTCTAACTCAGATTCAGGGTTGTAAGGTTTTGACTTTACCTGATTGATCTATGTATTTTCTTTTATTCATGTAGTTCTTAACATCAGTAACATACTTATTTATCTGTTACATGATATACATAAAATAATCATAATACCAACACTTCCTTAAGAATATATTTACTGTTTGTTAGTTTTTCTTGTTAATTTTTTGTCCTTAGGGTATATCTCTTTAGGGATATATAATCAAATTTCTGTGTTTTAGAATCACTTGGAATAATCCTTCTATCTGTAGTTGTGCTACCAGCTGGATACAGCATTCTATTAATATATTTTATTTTATTTTGCATTTTAGGGATTGATTTTTTAAAAAAATCAATTTTATTTCAAATGAAAATATTTGCATTGTTCTGAGGTCACACCTATAAAAAAGGCATGTTAAACTCTGGCTAGTTTGGCTCAGTGGATAGTGATGGCCTGTGGACTGAAGGGTCCCAGGTTCGATTCTGGTCAAGGGCACTTACCAGTGCAGCTGCATGTAGAAGGCAACCAATCGATGTGTCTCTCCTACATTGATATTTCTCTCTGTCTCTTCCCCTCCTTTCCACTCTCTCTAAAAATCAATGGCAAAATATCCTCAGGTGAGGATTAACAAAAAAATAAAATAAAATAAAAAAAATAGGCATGTTAAAATAAGTCTAGTTTCTGTCTTATTTTTCTTATTCCATCTTTTCCTGGAAATAACCATTTAAAAGAGTCTATTCTTTTGTTTTTTTAAAGAAAAGAAAGTCCTGGCCAGGTAGCTCAGTTAGAGTGTCCTCCCGATACAGCAAGGTTGTGGGTTTGATTCCCAATCAGGGCACATATAAGAATCAACCAATGAATGCATAAATAAGTGGAACAACAAAACTGATATTTCTTTCTCTCTCTCTCTCTCTCCCCCTCCCTCCCTCCCTCCCTACCTTCCCTCCTTCCCTCTCTCCCTCTTCTTTCCTCTCTCTAAAATTAAAAATCTATAATAATAAAAGCATAATATGCTAATTAGACCGGACATCCTTCTGGACGACCTTCTGGATGAAGCCGGGGCTTCTAGGGAAGCCCGGCTCCTGGGTGCCAGAGGGAAGCCAGTGCCGGCAGCTGGGGGAAGGAAGGCCTACTCTTGCACAAATTTTGTGCATCGGGCCTCTAGTTAAATAAGTAAATACATACAAAAGTATGTGTGTGTATATATGTATGTGTGTGTATATACATCCCTTTTGAGATAAGATTGTATAATTTAATTAAGAAGCTGCCGTTTTAGGTTTCTATGCTTCACATAATTATCATTGAACCAGATTAGAATGCTAACAACCTAACCTCTCAAACATTTAATTCTGACAAGGCCTTTATAAAAAATTCCTAAAAACATACCTAGATTATGTTTTGAGAATTTGGCTTTAATTAAGTCTTTATGTCAACTATTAGCTATTTATGATTCTCTGTGTTCTAGCATTAAAAATATTTAGTTTTTTTTTGTAGTGGTAGTATTTTGTGGTATCATTTTTTTCTTTCTTAAAAAATCTAGTGAAAACGCTTAATTTATTATCTGGGTTGTAATGCATTTAGTCCTGACATTTAATGTCAGGTCAAATATCAGATTGTTAAGTATTTTAAAAGCATTTTTATATAAAATTGAATTTAGTGGTAATTTCTCTCCTCACTTACATGAATTTTAAATAATAAATTCATATTAGTGATCTTTACATTGTCAGTAGCTATAAATAATAATATTGTCAACTCTTGATTATCCATTTTTACATTCTTCAAAGTTATTTCATAAAGTTGAAAATTATCCCACTATCATGTGTATTTGATGTTGGAATTCTGTTTTAACATTTATTTATCACTTAGGAATTGTCTGGACCTCAGATAAATAGATTTAATTATAGAATTGAATAATGTCTGGTTTTTCTTATTAATTTATTTAACTTTAGTTCTTAAGTTCATTTAGTGCAATCAGATAATTGTATTAGTTTGAAAGGTTTCTCTTTAAATTTAGGAATGTTTTATGCATAAGAATGGATGAACAAAGAAGTGAGAATAATAGTTATTTAGTTCAACCTTCTCAATTTGCAAATGAGCACATATACCCAAGGAATTTGCTCCTTTCACATGGTGACATTGGGTTAGTAATTTAGCCACAGCTGAAATTGATGACTCTAGACACCAGCTTATTGTATTTCCCCACTGTACCCACCTCCCTGGCACTCTTTACTTCCACTAAGCCACATAAACTGTGCTGCTGATCTACCCAAGGATAATCTGGTAACAAAAAGTAGATACTACTTGATTACACCTTGAAGTATAGCATGTGACACATTTTTTGTCTTTTTTGAAAAATCTCTTTAACAGTAATGGCTATTTATAATGTTTACTAGACCTATAATTTTTGGTCATTAATTTCTTTATCTCTTTTAGAATTTATTGTTATTCACAATGGAATCATCACCAACTACAAAGACTTGAAAAAGTTTTTGGTAAGTAAATTGACCTAAAAAGACCACCAGCGTTTGACAATACTTCTAATGAGAGCAGTGAGGTTGTTTGTTGAGATGTGCAATAAATACTATCTAGGTGTGATCAAGTAATTCCTAAGACAGTTTCAAGGGTATGGTGGTTTATTGGACTTTTCTTTGTTGACAGTGGAACATTTTTGTTCCTTATATGAAAAGGAAACAATTTTTGGCTTTGTTATGAATGATCCAGAAACTCAACTAAAATTGGAATTTGGGGGTTATGTCTTTTGCATTAAGAGAAACCTTGTTTGCCATTTTTAAAAGATTCTAGGATATGTAAGAGGAATCAGAACAGATTAAATGAAGGTTCTATGCCCTAAATAGCTATGTACTTACCTAGTAATGATCATGATGATGACTTTTATAATGGCTTCTCAGGTCTGTCCAACTGAACTTTCTGTAGTGATGGAAACCTTCCATATCTGTACTGTCCAATATAGTAGCCACTGTTCATATATGGCTTTTGAGCTAGTATGACTGAGGAACTAAATTTGAAATTATTTCACTTTAATCAATTTAAATTTAAATAGCCACGTATATCTAATGTCTATAGTATTGCATAGTAAAATATCATTGTTAAATAAAGAATTATCATATTCATTATGGGATTTGTTTTTATATTATATATTTTATTATATTTTAATTATTTAAAATTTATTTAATTCATATTGGCATATAGATTTATGTACATATATTTTTATTGATTTTAGAGAAGAAGGGAGAAGGAGAGAGAGATAGAGACATCAATGATGCGAGAGAATCATCGTTTGGCTGCCTCCTGCACGCCCCCTACTGGGGATCGAGCTTGCAACCCAGGCATGTGCCCTGACTGGGAATCGAACTGTGACCTCCTGGCTCATGGGTTGGCACTCCACCACTGAGCCACACCAGCTGGGTTGTTTATTTTTATTTTTTAAAACTTTATTGTTGAGTATATTATAGATGTGTCCTCGCCCCTCCCCCCCTTTCTTCCCCTTATTGTCCCCCTCCACTCGGATCCACCCTGCCCCAGGCCTTCACCACTCTATAGTTTGTGTTCATGGGTAATGCATGTATGCATGTAAGTTCTTTAGTTAAGCACTTTCCACCCACACCCCCCTCTTCCCTCTGAGATTTGTTGGTCTGTTCCATGTTTCCATGTTTCTGATTCTATTTTATTCATCAATTTATTTTATTCATTAGATTCCTTGTTCATTTATTTTGATTTTTAGATTCAGTTGTTGATAGATATGTATTCATTGCCATTTTATCGTTCATATTTTTTATCCTTTTTTTCCTTCTTAAAGAAGACCCTTTAACGTTTCATTAATGCTCATTGGTGGTGATGAACTCCTTTAGCTTTTTCTTGTCTGTGGAGCTCTTTATCTGACCTTTAATTATAAATAATAGCTTTGCTGGATAATCTTGGTTGTAGGTCCTTGCTTTTCGTCACTTTGAATATTTCTTGCCACTCCCCTCTTGCCTACAAAATTTGTTGAGAAATCACCTGACAGTCGTATGGGTGCTCCCTTGTAAGTAACTAACTGCTTTTCTCTTGCTGCTTTTAAGATTCTCTCTTTGTCTTTAACTTTTGACATTTTAATTATGTCTTGGGTATGGGCCTCTTTGGGTTCATCGTGCGCTTCCTGGACTTGTATGTCTTGTTCTATCACCAGGTAAGGGAAGTTTTCTGTCATTATTTTTTCAAATAGATTTTCAATTTCTTGCTTCGTTTCTTCTCCTTCTGGCATCCCCCTGATGTGAATGTTGGTATGCTTGAAGTTGTCCCAGAGGCTCCTTACACTATCTTCATATTTTTAGATTCTTTTTTCTTTTTGCTTTTCTGATTGGGTGTTTTTTGCTCCTTCATTCCAAATTGCTGATTTGATTCTCGTCATCCTCTACTGTTGATTCCCTGTAAATTATTCTTCATTTCAATTAGTGTAGCCTTCATTTCTGACTTTTCCTTTTTTATGTTGTTGAGGGTCTCACTAAGTTCCTTGAGGTTCTCACCAAGTTCCTTGAAGTTTTCATTGAGTTTCTTGAGTATCCTTTGAACTCTGTATCCGGTAATTTGCTTGCTTCCATTTATTTAGTTCTTTATCTGTTTTTTCATTTGTGTCATGTTTCTTTGTTCTGCATTTTGGCTGCTTTCCTGTGTTTGTTTCTATGTATTAGGTAGAGCTGCTATGTCACCTGGAATTGTTAGAGTGGCCTTGTGTATTATGTGTCCTGTAGAGCCCAGTGGCTCAGCCTCCCCAGTCACCTGAGCTGGGCACTCTAAGTGTGCCCCTGTGTGGGTTGTATGTGCTTTCCTGTTGTAGTTGAGCCTCAATTGCTTTTGGCATCACTGGGAGGGATTGACCCTCAGGCCAATTGGCTGTGCAGACCAGCTTTGACTACAGAGGAAGAGCTGTTGTGTAGGAGACACCCTTATGGAGCAGGACTTGCTTTAGTGGGGCTTTGGTGCTCACCAAGTCTTCCCCTTCAGTATGTCACTGGTGGATGTGATAGGCTGTAATCTGTCATGGTCTGAAGCTGGCCACCAGGTACAGTGGCTCTGGGGCCTCCTGGGAGGTGCAAAGTCAGCTACTGCTTGTGCTCTGCCTGGGGACACCCGTCAAGCTATGGAGTGATCTGCAGATGGCTGCTACTTGTGATGGGCTTGGAGGTGCTCAGGAAAGGCAAGGTGTGAACCAAGGCAGGCTGCTGCTATTGCTGGTTCTAGGGCCACTTATCGAGAGGTATGGGGCATGCTAGGCCAGCTGCTGCTTGTCTGAGAGATATTAGGAAAGTCTGAAGCCTGAGCCAAGAGGCCATTTATATGGAAAAGCCACTACAAACAGGTTGGGTGGGCACACAATTTGGGTGTGGTGGGGTCTCAGGGAATCACGAGGGTGGAGCGAACTTATGGGCCAAGTTGATGGATACTCAGATATTGCAACTGTTTGTTGGCATTGTGGCAGGGAGGTCTTCTCTGCACCTCTGCCAGCATTTTTGTGTGGGATAAAGCTGCCCCCAGTTCTTGCCCTGATGCCAGACAAATTAGTTCCTCCCATATGTTCCTGGATCCTTTCAAGTTGCTGCCCCAGCACTGGAGCTCAGAGGCAGTGAGTCAGAGTAAGTCTGTGTGTGGGCCCTTTAAGAGGAACTGCCTGGGACTTCAGCAACCCAACTGTGCCACAATCTCCACTGGTTTTTATAGCCTGAAGTTAGAGACTTCTCTTCCCAGGGTCTGGTGTGGGGCTAGGCCTGAGGGGTCTGGTATGGGGCTGGAACCCTTTGCTCCTCACGAGGAACCTCTGCTTAAGCCAAAATAGTCCTCCTGATTAAAAAGATAACACATATGGATATCGGACCAGCCCCTGCGCCTCTGCCCCTCCTACCAGTCTCAATGTGTCTTCTTTAATTCTTTAATTGTAGGACTTCCATTCAGCCAGATTTCAGGTGGTTCTGAATCATGGTTATTCTCTAGTTTAGTTGTAATTTTGATGTGGTTGTGGGAGGAGGCGAGTACTGCGTTTACCTATGCCACCATCTTGACTTGCCTCCTGTTACCTTAATTTTGAACAGTGGGTAATGGTGTATGGTGGTCAAAAAGATTAGAAATTGATTAGTGAGATTTTTGAGGAAAAAAAAATCTGTAGATAAGATTTGGATATGATGAATATTTCCTTAAATGTGTCAATTTTTTTTTCTTTCTAATTACAGGAAAGTAAAGGTTATGACTTTGAATCTGAAACAGACACAGAAACAATTGCCAAGCTTGTTAAGTACATGTATGACAATCGGGAAAGTCAAGATACCAGTTTTACTACCTTGGTGGAGAGAGTTATCCAACAATTGGTATTAAATCACACTTTAAAAAAATTATTTTTTAATTACAGTTTTCACTCAATAGTGGTTGGGAAATCATATATTTTACAAAGTGTTCCCCCTGATATTTCCAGTACCCACCTGGCACCATACATAATTATTTCAATATTATTGACTATATTCCCTGTGCTGTACTTTACATCCCTGGGACTATTTTGTAGCTGCCAATCTGTACTTCTTAATCCCTTTACCTATTTCACCCCAACCTCCCTCACCCCTGGCAACCAACAGTCTTTACCCTTTTAAAGATAATTATTACAAACATTAATCATAATATATCTTTTTTTAAATAATAGGTCCTTCAAATTAAGTTTGAGAAGCAGGAACTATGCTAATTTAAAAATATTTTTGGCTTTTACTTTTCATATATAACTTTTCAACCTGAATAATTTTGAGGGATTGTTGTTTCACTGATGAACCATCCTTTCCCACACACTTAAAATTTTACTTCTTTCACTGTACTTTTGTGTTAGGGGAATTAAAAGTAACCTAAAATCAGTTTGTCCAAAAAGTATGCATGCATACACACACACACAAACACATACAAACCCATACATACCACACACAAACATGCATACAGTATACATAGACAGGGACTCATCATTTTCTTGCTTCCTGCTCAGGTTAGTTTCAGTGAAATGTACACTTTTTATTCTGGGATAATGTTTGCTTATCTCTGAGTCAGTCTAGTCAACTCCTTATTTTTCCTTATGGGGACTTTTCCTTGGCTCTTTGCCTCTATGGAAAAGTATTTCCCAGTCCAAGAGAAAAGTGGTATTCTTTTTGATCCCATCTAAAGTGCCCTAAATAAAGATTAAAGATCCACAAAAGGCCAAATGCATAGTGATTTCTATCCCCCTCCCCCACTCATAGCTCTAGCTTTCCCATTTAAAAGCCCTTTACTTCTCAGTGAAGGTCCAGCCCTCATTTCCCACCTCCTCCCATCCTTATGATGTCTACAGTAAAGGAGGAGACAGAAAGTGAAGAAAATAGAGGTCCATTCCATCCCTTTACTCAAGGCAGAGTATTGTGCCTTCCCAGTCTTGTCTTATTTCTACTCACTGTATAACCCAGTTTGTGTTCTATGGTGTTTTCTTCCTTCTCCTACCTCATGTTCCTCCTTTATTCATTCTTGATTTCTTTAGGCCCTGTCCTTGAGGAGGTTGGGTAGAGGGGGTGGTATGATATGCATGTTAATAATTGTGATTGTACATATTTATCTCCAGTGTCAAGATAAAAAAAAGTGTAAGTTAACAGTGGTATAAAATGGGTTTTGGGTATTGAACTTAGGTCCTTTCCTAATTCTATCTTCCCTTTATTAATGTATAATATGGGAGATATGATTTATTTATTGAGAAACATTTGTAGTATGTTTGAATTTTTTATAGGACTTTCAGCTATAAAAACTCTAGAACATTTTATTGATATAACTAGAGGCCTGGTGCATGGATTTGTGCACTAGTGGGGTTCAACCGGCTCGCCTCAATGGGGGCCCATAGGCCAGGCCAGCGGGGGGGATGGGCTGTGGGTGGTTGGCCGGCTGGCCCCACCCCCGATTGGGGTTGGGGGACTGATCGGGGCCTGAATCAGGCCAGTTGGTGCCGCAGTGTATGTCATAGCCACCAGTCATTCTGGTCATTCTGCTATTCCTGTCGCTGGGCTTTTATATATATAGATTAGACCCCCCCCCCCCCAAAAAAAAGATGTGTTCTTTCCATTAAAATGATCTGTTTTGGAGCTATTTATCTATTGAGCCTATTTGAAGAGTAAGCTTGTTTAAAAAGTGACTCTTTGATACACCAAAGCTCAAGAGGAAGTGTCTGCCTAATATTTAGACTCATTTATAAACTAGTGCAAAAAGTGGTTATGTAAACAAAAAGTTTCTGTGGTAAAGCCAGTATGTATTAGACATGTCACATTTGATAATTGATTATCATATGTATTGCTGACTCATTTTTTTTCCCTCCATAGGAAGGTGCTTTTGCACTTGTATTTAAAAGTGTTCATTTTCCTGGCCAAGCAGTTGTCACAAGGTATGTATAAATTTAATAATGCCTAATAATTATATGTATTTTGAAACTTTTGAATTGTAAGTTTATTCTCTGTACACTATAAATGTCCCTTCACCATAAAGGCCTGTATAGCAACTACTCAGTTTTGCTCTTGTAGTGTGAAAGCTGCTGTAGAAAATATGTAAAAGAATGGGCATGGCTGTGTTCCAATAAAAATTGACAAACCTGCTCTGTGGGTCAGATTTGCTTAGCTCTGTTATTGAATGTTTTTTTTTTTAAATTCTGTTTATATTGATCTGTTGTTATATCTGAAGTTGAGCTTGGAGGGAGAATTTAAACTTTATTTGAAGAGTGTTCTGTCATCACATATAAATTTTATATCATTAATGTGTGGTTTATAAAAATGGTTTAATTCTGTTTAATTTTGTACTAATAGACGAGGTAGCCCTCTGTTGATTGGTGTACGAAGTGAACATAAACTCTCTACTGATCACATTCCAATACTCTACAGAACAGGTAAAAACTGTTCCTACATCATGCCATGGGTAGAATGTATAAATTGAATGCAGTAGATATGAAGAATTGTTTTCCTTAAATTGAAATAAATGCTTTGGTCAGGTCCACTCATATATAGTTCTGTCTAGACATGAAAAGTATTTGTTTTGTGATTTCTCTGACAAGTAGAATTTTTTTCTGTTGTATATCCATAGCTAGGACTCAGATTGGATCAAAATTCACACGGTGGGGATCACAGGGAGAAAGAGGTGGGAAATGCACTGCATGGATGGGGAGGAATCTTATCCTGTTTTGTTTATTCTTTACTAATTCTTTGTTCTTGGAGTGAATGAATGTGCTGGGCCTCTAAAAATGTGCTTATTTTATGGGGAAATATATTTTGACATTTTTTCTAACTTGCAGAGTATATTTTGTCTGTCTGCTTTTGGCATTTAGAAAACTGCTTTTAGTAATTCGTTTCTTTAAAGTCTCTGAGATTTGAAAAAAAATAGTTTTTTTCCTTTGCTTTAAATTAAAATCATGTAGGATACCTTATTATAACTAAGATGCCAAGATGGGGAAAAGAGCATTGTGTTCTAGACTACTATAGATTGGACTTAGTTATAATTTGAATAATTCAGCCTAATTTTTAACTGACATAGTCGGTTTTAATGGTTTTTATTTTATGCATGACATTTTACTTTTAGATTTACATTCAGTATCTTGATTGGCTTTGTTTGGATTTGGAATTGTTCTTTTTTAATAAGTTTGAATTTTTTATAAGACTGTCAGCTATATAAACTCTGGAACATTTCATGGATATAATTAGATTTTTAAAAAGATGTGCTCTTTCTATTTGCTTATTACTAAAAGTAAATTCAGGAAATTAGAACTTATATTATTAATGTATAATTCTTGATTTCTTGAAAAAAATTTAGCAAAATACTCTAAACCTATTCACCTTTAGATTGTAACTGCTTTCACTATTTTATCTGTAGCAGATAAAAGTTCTGAGATGTTAGAATTTTTTATCTCCCTCATCCCCTTCCCTCCCTTTTCAGAAGAAAAACTAGTCTATCAGTGAGAGTGCAAATTTTGGATCCAGAGTTCCAGATTTCTGTTAATAATTCTGCTGTTTATACATTACCTATATATTACCTTGTACATTGTTTTAAGCTGCTTTTAGAAGCAATGGGAAAACATTGGCTAAGGTTTTAAGAAATTGGAGGAAACGTTTATCACTGGACAGATCTTTTTGAGATCAGAGTCTATGTTTTAGTAACCCTTACCTCTCTAGCTCCTAATAGGTAGAGAGTGTGCTCAACAGAGTAATTTAAAAAATAGGCCTCTTATTGAAGAGGCTGTGTAAAGAGGAGAACCCTGAACTGGCTTTTAGGCTGTTACTGTTTTCTCCAGGTGACCAAATAAAGTGGAATGATGATAATTGTATTCCACTTAAATGAAATCAGATGAGAGAATATAGAAAGACATTTTATAGATTTTAAGAGTCATATAGGTGTCAAGTAGTAGTGTTCTTTTCATTTAAATTGGCAATGATACCTTAACTTCTTCTGAATATTGTAATTAAATATACTTTGTTACTTGAAGAATGAAATAACCAATATTTGGAGAAAGAATATGTATAGTGAAACTCAGCCCCATTAGTGCATTATATAACCAAAGCTGGTTGTGTTTATTTAAAAAAATGTAGGTGCTGGGCTATCATTTTGCCTATTTTTTAAAGAAGATGTTTTTATTGATTTTAGAGAGAGGAAGGGAGAGGGAGAGAGAAACATTGATCAGCTGCCTCCTGCACGCCCCCTACTGGGGATTGAGCCCGAAACCTGGGTGTGTGCCCCCACCAGGAATCTAACTGGTGACCTCTCGGTGCATGGGACGATGCTCAACCAAATGAGCCACACCGGTCAGTACGCATTTTACCTATTTCTTGATTCACTTTTTATTTTTTAAATTATTTTTTATAAAATATATTTTTTATTGATTTCAGAGAGGAAGGGAGAGGGAGAGAGAGATAGAAACATCAGTGATAAGAGAGAATCATTGATTGGCTGCCTCCTGCACACCCCCAACTGGGGGTCGAGCCCGCAACCCAGGCATATGCCCTTGACCGGAATCGAATCCGGGACCCTTCAATCCACAGGCCGATGCTCTATCCACTGAGCCAAACTGGCTAGGGCTTGATTCACTTTTTGAAAGACAATAAAGCTCACTCTTTTTCATGTAAAATTTCCTGAGTTCTGTCAAATGCAAACAGGTGTGTAACCACTACCACAGTCAAGATAACAGAAAAATTCCATCCCCCAAAAAGTTCCCTCCCACTGTCACTTTGTAATCAACCCTGGTCCCCATTCTCATCCTCTGGCAGACACTGATCTGTTTTATCTGTCTTTTTTAAAAAAAATATATTTTATTGATTTTTTACAGAGAGGAAGGGAGAGAGATAGAGAGTTAGAAACATCGATGAGAGAGAAACATCGATCAGCTGCCTCCTGCACACCTCCCACTGGGGATGTGCCCCCAACCAAGGTACATGCCCTTGACTGGAATCGAATCTGGGACCTTTCAGTCCGCAGGCCGACGCTCTATCCACTGAGTCAAACTGGCCAGGGCTGTTTTATCTGTCTTGAGTATTATCTTTTCTAGGATGTTACCTAATACTTATTTTTTGAAGTGCAGTATCTTTTCTGCTATTGAATTTGGATGGGAAGAACTATTTGGTTTTCATGCCTAAACCTCACCAAATAATCATGGATTGTGGAGAACTTTGGATGTGTATTTCTAAGAATAATTACTTCCAAGTCTTTATAGACATGCATTTTAGAGGATTAACACATTATGAATTTTTTGCAAGTATATTTATGATGATGTCTGGTCATTGTGTACGTAGGTTATATAGTTACTATGTCCTGATTTTAGAGAAAGGTGCTCTTTTGTCTCTTTGACATTTATATAGTTTTCAGTTAATAGATTAAAAAATATATTCGCTAATTTGTCAAATTTCAGTATGCTTTCCAGTTTTGACTTTAGCTATGAATGAGCAAAAAGGAAAAAGATCTTCATCAGTGATTGACGAATTAAGTAGAGATGCCAAAATTCTAAAGTGCTAGAATTAAGAGGATATTTTCAATGCAAATGGACCATTACTCCTTTTTTCGAACTTAAATGTTAGAAAACTCAGTTTTAAGAAAGAAGAGGTTCTACGTTTATAATATTTTCATTCCTTATTTGTTAGAGTTATAAGTATCTTTTGTTTTTAAATTACAGTTAGTGGAAACTATATCTTGATTTGTTAGGTCAGTTTACTATTTTTTTAATTTTTTGCTTTTTATTTTTTAAAAAATATGTTTTTTATTGATTTTAGAGATAGAAGAAGGGAGAGAGAGAGAGAAAGAGAGAGAAAGATAGAAACATCTATGAGAGAGAAATGGCTGCCTTCTGCATGCCCCACATTGGGGAATGAGCCCACAACCCAGGCATGTGCCCTGACTAGGAATTGAACTGTCAGCCTCTCAGTGCATGAGTCGATGCTCAAACACTGAACCACACCAGCAGGGCACAAAATTATTATTAAAATCTAGAGAAGTTTTGTTATGAGATAATAAAAATTACTATGCCACTTGTCTTTATTTTTTATTATACAATTTTGATATTTTAAATGTGATTTTATGATAAGTTTAGGTATACAAACGTATTCCATATATATATATATATATATACATACTTTCTTAAAAAAGAGTGATATTAATAAAGTATTTTGATTTTTACCTGGAAAAGAAATATGAAAAACATTTATATTATAGCACAGTTATCTGCCACACTCTCTTTGATAGTTGCTATTTCACTGTACATGCTTTGTCTGTTTTTCTTCTTGCATGGAAATAAGTGATCTTTTTTTTCAGCATTTAAAGTTGCTGAAATTACTTTGTGTTGCTATGGTTTTTTGTTGATTTTTCTAGAAAATTATCTATATTTTTATATTGGCCCTGGTTTTCTACATGCTTACCTATTAACTCTGCGCTCTAGGCAAAGATAAGAAAGGAAGCTGCAATCTCTCTCGTGTGGACAGCACAACTTGCCTTTTCCCTGTTGAGGAAAAAGCGGTGGAATATTACTTTGCTTCTGATGCAAGGTGAGCTCCCTTAGTTGATTCAAAGAGAATTTGTAGTGAAACTTGTGATGCTACAGGAAACCAGAAAGTCGTTTTGTATAAATGTGGTCATGTTGTACAGGAGAACTTTGTTAATTAAGAAAGTGAAGGTGACCTTTTTTTGGAGATGGCTTTTAAGAACACCTTTTCTCTCAATTCAAAGCACATAGATCAATAAAGAACAGATAATAAACCTTGAGACTTGTTCCAATGTATTTATGCTGAGCTCATGTATTTTTTTCTCCTTTTTTAGGAGCCTTATCTAGGTTTTATAGGGAGGAGAGATTTTTAAAAATTTATTATTTATTGATTTGAGAGAGAGAGAGAAATAGAAACATTGATTTGGTGTTCTATTTATTTATGCATTCATTGGTTGTCTCTTATGTGTGCCCTGACTAGGGATTGAACCCACAACCTTGGCATATTGGGACAATGCTGTAACCAACTGAGCTACTCAGCCAGGGCAGGATGAAAGATTTTATTTTATTTTTTTAAAATATATTTTATTGATTTTTTACAGAGAGGAAGGGAGAGAGATAGAGAGTTAGAAACATCGATCAGCCGCCTCCCGCACATCTCCCACTGGAGATGTGCCCGCAACCCAGGTACATGCCCTTGACCGGAATCGAACCTGGGACCTTTCAGTCCGCAGGCCGACGCTCTATCCACTGAGCCAAACCGGTTTCAGCAGGACGAAAGATTTTAGATTGGAGTGTTAATAGTTTAGTCTCCCACCAATTATAGGAAAGTTGCTAAACCATTTTACTTTTAGTCTAATGTAGACGTTTATCTTTTTAATTCAGAAGTAATTGGCAACATAATCAGTTTTACAGAGGAAATAGTACTAGACTATGTGAGAAAATGCAGTGGGATGCTTAGATGCATTTATAAATGAAATACTAATAATCCTATATAATAAAAGGCTAATATGCAAATTGTCCCCTCGACCGGGAGTTCAACCGGGAGTTTGACCAGGGGGCAGGGCCGGCTGGCCAACCGCCTATGGTCCCTTCCCCCAGCCGGCCCTCCCCCCGATCGTGGCTGGGGCCAGCTGGCCAACCTCCCGCGTCCCCTCCCCCTGGCTGGCCCTGCCTGATCGGCTGCGTTTGGCTGGACCCCACTTGTGCACGAATTCATGCACCGGGCCTCTAGTAATCGATATAAAATGGAATCATTCAAATTGCTAACATGTATTTGAGTCATTCATTGTGCCTGAAAGTAGAGGGATCTAAAAGTGAAAACTGATGGAGTTTGGGACTTTAGAGAATTTATTATCTCAGTGGGAAAACAAGCTTTACGCTTTAATGTTTTACAGGTGTATAATCAGTGCTAAGATGTGTCATTGCTGTCATTAAGTAGGTTTGTTACAGAGTTGACACTTATAGCTTAAATAAATGAGGTTAGAAACACCTCAGCCGTTTTTTACTCATTCATTCATATGGTCTTAACTGCACACTAGCAAAGCATGTACTGTGCTTAGGAGATAATGGTGAGTAAAAAATATTACTTGTCATTAAGGAGCTCTTTTTTATTTTTACATATTTTTATTGATTTCAGAAAGGAAGGGTGAGGGAGAGAGAAACAGAAACATTGATGAGAAAGAATCATTGATTGGCTGTCTCCTGCATGCCCCCTACTGGGGATAGAGCCTGCAACCCAGGCATGTGCCCTTGTCCAGAATCGAACTGGGGACCCTTCAGTCTGCAGGTTTATGCTCTATCTGCCGAGCCAAACTGGCTAGGGCAAGGAGCTCTTTCTTAGTGGAGAAGACAAATTTTAATCAATAGTCACACAAGTGTAGAATTCCAGCTGTGATGAGAGTTATAGAATGCTTATAACAGGTGACTTACCCTCATGAGTAAATTTCTTTAAGGGAATGATGCTTGAAATGAGAGTTAAGGAGATACTAAGAGTTAAATAGGTGAGAGATGGAGGAAAGGACATTCATTCTCTGCAGATTGATCAGCCTGTGAGAGTTTGGGATGGGTGGGAGTGTGGGCTGGAATAGCGGTGGGAAATGAGGCTAGAGGAGGAGGTAGGTGTCACAGTTATGCATTTTGTTGATTTCCTAAGAGCCAAAGGGAAGCAGTCATGTGGTTTGCTGGATGAGGGAGAAATCCTGATGAGAGTTGCCTTTTGATATTCATTTTGGCAGAAATGGACAGTGGATGGAGAGAGATTAGAGGGAATGTGGGTGGACAAGTTAGGAGGTTGCTATAGTAGTTCAGCAAAGAGTTGATGATAGCTTGAACTGGTTTGTGGTGGTGGACATAGAAGCTTTGAGAAATACTTAGGAGTTAAAATTGGAGTATTTGGTGATGGATAGAATGAGGAAGAAACAACCATGTTTTCTTTCAGATCTAATCTGATTTGGTGTAGGTTGCTGCATAGAGATCCTTTTATTCACTGTCCACAGTGACCACGCCTCACCCTGACTTCCCTATGAGGAATGGCATCAATAACCAGAAAGCTATCAGAAATATTGCAGGATGGTAGAGTTTGTATTTTTTTTCTTTTTTTTAAGTTTATTTTTCAAATATAATGTTACATGCAATAAACATTAATATTCCAAGAAAAAAAGGATTTCAAGTATAATAATACTACCGAAACTGTACTAACAGTATATCACAAAAGTTGTAGAAAATAATTAAAAATCTGAGTTTTTATTTAAATTTGATTTTTGTGTCCTAGTGATAGTTTTAATAATCATCCTTGATTATTGATTGTAATATCTCCTTGAATGTTTTATAGTGCTGTCATAGAACACACCAATCGCGTCATCTTTCTTGAAGATGATGACGTAGCAGCGGTGGTAGAGGGCCGTCTTTCTATCCATCGAATTAAACGAACTGCAGGAGATCACCCTGGAAGAGCTGTGCAAACCCTCCAGATGGAACTCCAGCAGATCATGAAGGGTGAAAGTTTTGTCATGTTATAGCTTGGTGTCCTTATTGGAAAGGGTACATTCTACTTCCTGTCCTAGTGTAGAAATCTGGTAACACAGTGCTGAGTGAAATTGTCCACATGAGTAGTGAAGGGACAGCCACAGGAAAAGAGATGATTCTTGGAAGAAATTATCTGTTAGTTTTACAATAGTTTTCTTCCAATTAATCCATGGTTTTCTTTTCTAACATTAAAAAGAGATGATTTAAATAGTACTTGAAATTTTTAAGATGCTTTATAAACATAGTTTGTGTTCTGTTCTTTATTTCTTTCTTATTCTCCCTGTGCTTGAGTTTTCTTATATATAAAGTGAGGATAATAGGTTCTACCTCATTAAGGATTAAGAGAGCCAATACATATAAAGCCCTTAGAATAGTGCCTGACACACTTAATGAACCCTACGTAATGTTTGCTGCTCTTATCTATTACTAGAGGCTTGATGCACAAAATTCATGCAAGAGTAGGCCTTCCTTCCCCCGGCTGCTGGCACCAGCTTCCCTCTGGCACTCGGGACCTGGGCTTCCCACCAGCTGCCGGCAGGCACCTGGGACCCGGGTGTCCTGAAAGACTTCCAGTCTAATTAGCATATTACATTTTTGTTATTAGAGATAATTATTGTGACTATGGCTTTTATTCTCCTTTCTGGTGGGGTTGTAGTGGGAATAAAAAGTAACACTATGTAATAGCTATGTGTCAAGTCTGTATATGTCCATACTACAATGCTATGAAGTAGTTGCTGTTCTTAATTTACAGATTAAGGTATTTCCCCAGGATCTCTTAGCTAATAATATCCTTGATTCAAATCTAGGTTTGAATCCAAAACTTAAGCTTGTCCCACTCCCCTGTTTATCTGTAACTGCATATTTTACATGATTCTTTCTCCTTGTTCACTTTTCTTCACATAGGGTAGAATGTCATATATGAGCATTGTCCTCAATGGCATGACCTTTTGTTTCATTTCATTTACTAAGATTATGTCAAAGGAGATAGATTTTCAGTTTTGTACAAATTTGTTATTCTTTGGCTTATTTTTTTTTTTTGTTTGTTTGTTTTAATGATATAATTTATATTCCTTTAGGCAACTTCAGTTCATTTATGCAGAAGGAAATTTTTGAGCAGCCAGAGTCAGTTGTGAACACAATGAGAGGAAGAGTCAACTTTGATGACTATACTGGTAATTACATATCAATTATTTTTTTATTTCAAAGTCTGGGGGTTGGCATTGACAGCCTGAAAGTTCATTGTCCTCGATAGCCTTATAGAATATATGGCTGCCAGTCATCTTTTTTTGTTTGTTTAATATATTCTTATTGATTCCTAGAGGAAGGAAGAGGGAGAGACAGATAGAAACATCAGTAATGCGAGAGGATCATTGATTGACTGGCTCCTGCACGCCCCACACTGGGGATCCTGGGCATGTGCCCTGACCGGAAATCAAATCGTGACCTCCTGGTTCATAGGTTGACACTCAACCACTGAGCCTCACCGGCAGGGCATCCCTGTCATTCTTGATCATAATCTGAAATACAAGTCTCTTTGACAGTATGTCTGCTTTTATACTGAGTCATCTCCAAACTGATTTGCCTTTGTGCAACCTTTACCCAACCTCTTAGTGTTATTTCCTTTCTTCCCAAACATTTTTGCTACATGCCAAGGCCAGTGGAAGAACATTGTAGGCAGAAGTACACGAACAGGCTTGGTCTAGTGCAGGAATAACCAGAGGGTCAGTTTGGCTGGTGTGGCCTGGGTGAGAGGGGAATTATGAGGAGATTAGGTCAGAGTTAAGCAGGAGACAGGGCATGTAGAAACTTGAAGGCCATATTAAGGGGTTTGGATTCTATTCTAAGATATTTGGGAAGCCAGGGAACCTTTTTGTTATTTTATTTCCCACTTTACTAATTTTTAAAAATAAATACTATAAAGGAAGAACATAAAATTATTCAAAAAGATAAGTAAAAACATACACCTTAGTTCCATATTTTAGCCAATTAAGGTAGAAAAAATGGTGGGGAGATGAAGAACAGGGACAAAGTAGGCAGATGGATGGTGGGTCATATGCAGGAGAATGCTGCCTGGGTGTGCACATCTGTCTCCTCAGCCAGAGTCTGAACTGTCTGAGAGCTCTGGTTGCCACACAGTATAGCCTTGGACAGTATGTTCACTTGGTGGGTGCTCAGTAAATATTAGTTCAATACTTGAATGATTCTTGAGTGAAAATTTCTCACAGGTAGAAAACCAGCCTTGTGTAGAATTGTTCATTGACAAGGTACTCTTGGAAGAATATATACATAGAAGGAGGACAGACTCATCAAGAGGCTTTTAATATCAGATTCATGTTTTAAAAGAATCACTTAAAAGGTTATTTTGGTTGTGTGTGGAGAACAGGCCAAGTGGAAGTGGAAAACTGAAGAGAGAATAGTTAGAATGGTCTCATCCAGGGGAGAAATGTTGGTCTGGGGTGATGGCAGTAGAGATATAATTTGAAGGTAGAGCACCTAAGACTTGCTGGTGGAGTGGATGTGGAGAAGGGATAGGAGCAATGAGGATGATTCTGACATTAGGTGAATGAGATGGAAAAGACTGAGAGGAGCCCTAGCCAGTTTGGCTTAGTCGGTAGAGCGTCGGCCCTTGGACTGAAAGGATCCTGGGTTTGAATCCAGTCAAAGGCACATACCTCAGTTGCAGGCTCAATCCCCAGCCCCGGTCGGGGATGTGTGCAGGAGACAATTAATGTGTCTCACATCAATGTTTCTCTCTCTGTCTCTTCCCCTCCCTTCCATTCTCTCTAAAAATCAATTGAAAAATATCCTCGGGTGAGGATTAACTAAAGATAAAATAAAATAACTTAAAAAAAAAAAGACTGAGAGGAGAGTGGGTTTATATTATGTTCAGAGCACTGTTCTGGGTACCGTAGGAGAAATGAATATAACTAAGTTATTTTCCCCCCATGCAGGCTTATAGAGATACTAGAGGCCCAGTGCATGACATTCATGCACGGGGGGGGGGGTGTTCAGCCTGACCTGCACCCTCTTGCAATCCAGGAACCCTCGGGGGACATCCCTCTTGCAGTCCGGGACCACTGGCTCTTAACCGCTCGCCTGCCTGCCTGATCGTCCCTAACTGCTCACCTACCTGCCTGATCACCCCTAGCTGTCTCTGCCTACCTGCCTGATCACCTCTAACTGCTCGCCTGCCTGCCCAATTGCCCCTAACTGCCTCTGCCTTGGCCCCCGCACCCAGGACCCAGGCTTCCCTCCCTCTGGCCGGCCGCAGGCACCCAGGACCTGGGCCAGCTAAGCCTGGGCCAGCCACAGGCACCTGGGACTCTGGGCGGCTTCGCCCGGGGCCCCGGCTTTGTCAGGAAAGACGTCCGGAAGATGTCCGGGCTATCTGGTCTAATTAGCATATTACCCTTTTATTAGTGTAGATATAATAAAATTTATTGTTCTTATTGTATAATTCAGTGAGTTTCAACAAACTTCCATAACATGCTCATAATGCTGACCTCTACAACAATGAAGACATAGCACAGTTCCATTACCCTAAAAACTCCTTGTGTCCTTTGTAATCAGCAACTTCCCCACCTCCAGACATCATCTACTGTGTCCATACAGTTTTGCCTTTAAGATAACTTTTAATCTAAAGAAAGGAATGGCCCTGACTGGTTTGGCTCAGTGGATAGAGCATCGGCCTATGGACTGAGAGGTCCCAGGTTTGCTTCTAGTCAGGGGCATGTACCTTGGTTGCGGGCACATCCCCGTGGGGGGTGGCGAAGGGGGGGGGGGCGGCGGTGTGCAGGAGGCAGCTGATCGATGTTTCTAACTCTCTGTCCCTCTCCCTTCCTCTCTAAAAAAATCAATAAAATATATTAAAAAAAAAAAGGAATGTAAAATTGACCAAACAAGTTAAAGTGTGATACATACTGTAGTAGTGTGGACATGTGGTAGGGAGCTGAATAAGGCTAGTTACAAATCTGGGGAACCAGTTAAGTTGTGTCTTATTTTAATTACTTTTCAAAAAATAGGGACCTAAGAAGAAAAAAAAAAAGAAAACAAACGAATTACAGAGAACTCCTAGGTGGAGTTCCTAGGACTTGCTGGTGGAGTGGATGTGGAGAAGGGATAGGAGCAATGAGGATGACTCTAACATTAGGTCAATGAGATGTCAAAGACTGAGAGGAGCCCTAGCCAGTTTGGCTCTGGATAGTGCACATGCCTACTTCTATAAGAGTTCCTCAGAGGAATACAAATTCTTTAAACTTCTGTTGCTTCCCAGATTGGTAGTAGGCACTTATCAAAAATGATTGCTTATTTCATATGGTTCTTTCCTAAATAATTATATACATGAACTTTTATTTCAGTGAATTTGGGCGGTTTGAAGGATCACATTAAGGAGATCCAGAGGTGCCGGCGCTTGATTCTTATTGCTTGTGGAACAAGTTATCATGCTGGTGTAGCAGTAAGTAGCTTCTTAAAATCTTAATTGTAATATGTTTGGTATCAGAAGATATCTGCAAACAAATAGTACCTCCAGTAACACACCATGTAAAACTCTCCTTTGTTAAAACATCATGTTATATTTTCAGTTTGCATGACAAAAATCAAGAAGGTTGGGGGCAGAAATTTTAATAGATCCTTGGAATTATTTATTAATAGAAGATCTGCTTTAGAAAGGGTCTTAGAATGCCTGCAAATGACTTTGTTAGTGAAAGGCAAAGAGAAGGAAAGTTTTTGCACCATCTTAGCCTTGTGGTCTAGTGCACATGCCTACTTCTACAAGAGCAGCCATTGAGTTTTGCTTCTCATTGTTCACTTACTCCAGACAGAAGAGATGGCTGGTACCATGGGTGAACCTCACCAGGATTTTACTTGGCAAGCAGGTTTCTACAGAGAAAGGAAGTCTGCCTTATGTCAGACTTTGTTCTTTAAACTGTTATTTTGGAAGCTGCAATTTTATATTAAAGAAGTGTGTTGTTGTCAGTGCACAAGCTTAGGAATATAACAATCTTTTTTACTCCAATAAATCAGATCCATGTGTAGTTTATGTGCGCTGATATCAGCTCCCATAAGTACAGAAGACCCTTTCATACTCAGTTGCTACTTTGAGGATGATTCTTAAAGTTCATGACATAGTAATTTTTTATTTGCTGGGGCATAAATATTTGTTGTCTACACCTGTGGGAGCTAGTTATTTAGTGATTTAAAACTAGCTAATCACCCAGACCTTGAATTTCAACAGGCTCTACTCTTCTCTTAACACATTTCGTACCGCTCAGGAGTTTTCTCGTGTTTCGTGCGCCATCTGTTAAGGACCGCTCACGAGTGTTCTTGTTTTTCATGCCCATGGAAAAAGGAGCGAATCTAGATACTTATGTAAATTTTGTTTGGTCCCTCTTCATAGAGGAAAATGTTTTACGCAGTACCATACGTTAAAAAAGTACTAGGAACTTTAATTAATTGTTTTTGTAAATAAAAATGTTATAATTATTGAAAAACAACACCTAAAGTGCATTATGAATGTTTAAATAACGTGCAGTTTGCCCAAAAATGTGCGGTCCCTGGCGTATGTCTTAGAAATTTCTATGCGGTACGCAATGTGTTAAAAAAGAAATTACATAGTCCTAAAAAGGAAAGTCTGCAGTATCAAAGGGAAGAGTTGTAAAAAAGTGATGGTTTTGAGCATGGGAAAGAAAGAATGAATTAAAGACGATAGTGTAAATTAAGGGATTGGTTAATTTAGTGGTGGTTTAGGTCTATTACTGAATAAGCCCATTATTCAGAAATTAAAAATTTGAGTAAATGTTGTATCTAATGCTAAGTTTGAATTTTGGAGCAGAAGTTATATGCTCTGTTAGGCTTTTCTAACTCTGAAATTTGAGAAGATTTAATCTATTTTTAAAAAAATATTTTTTTTTATTGATTTCAGAGAGGAAGGGAGAGGGAGAGAGAGAGAAAAACAATGATGAGAGAGAATCATTGATCGACTGCCTCCTGCATGCCCCCTTTTGGGGATCGAGCCCGCAACCTAGGCATGTGCCCTTCACTGGAATCAATCCCAGGACCCTTCAGTCTGCAGGCTGACACTCTAGCCACAAAAACGAAACATAGACAAACCAGCTTGGGCTATGTTTTGTTTTTGTGGATGCTGAGACTACTATAGTTAACTAACATTGGCAATCTCATGGTTTATCACCCTATCTAATAAAAGAGTAATATGCAAATTGACCATCACTCCAATACACAATATGGCCACCCCCATGTGGACACAAGATGGTTGGCAGGGGAGGGCAGTTGGGAGGGACAAGACCTGCAGGGGAGGGCAGTTGGGAGGGACCAGCCTGCAGGGGAGGGCAGTTGGGGGAACCAGGCCTGCAGGGGAGGGCAGTTGGAGGGACCAGGCCTGCAGGGGAAGGTAGTTGGGAACCAGGCCAACAGGGAGGGTAGTTAGGGGCAATCGGGCCAGCAGGGGAGCAGTTAGGTGTCGATCAGGCTGGCAGGGGAGTGGTTAGGGGCAATCAGGCAGGCAGGCAGGCGAGCGGTTGGGAGCCAGAAGTTGTGGATTGTGAGAGGGATGTCCCAGATTGGAGAGGGTGCAGGCTGGGCTGAGGGACACACACACCCCCGTGCACAAATTTTGTGCACCGGGCCTCTAGTATAAAATAATATCATTAATTCTATGTAGGTTTTTGTTTGTTTTTGGTGGTGTCAAATGTGAATGACACATTTGCATAATTGCTTTTTTAGTATATATTGTGTATCCTGAACAATAACAATTAACTAAAATCATTCTAAGTATAGATTGCTTTTCAAAATGTTTATTGTCTTGGGTTTTTCCAGTGGCATGCAATGGAATTTAACATTAAATTAGTCTCTTATGATGAAAATATGTCATTCTGTCTATTTCTAAAGAGTTGCTTCTATTGAAAGAACAAACTATTAGCACAGATATACCTTCAGATTACTTTCTGAGGTGTATTATCTATATATATAAAAGCCCAGCGACTGAACAGCAGAACGACCGGTCGACTAGTCGCTATGACGCGCACTGACCACCAGGGGGCAGACGCTCAATGCAGGAGCTGCCCCCTGGTGGTCAGTGTGCTCCCACAGTGGGAGTGCCGCTTGGCTGACTGGGATGAATGGCTGCTCCTGTAGGCCATGCCCCCCACCAGTGCACGAATCCGTGCATTGGGCCTCTAGTCTATATATAAAAACCTAAACCACCATTTTACTGGTAGCTATGATGCACACTGACCACGGGGGGCAGATGCTCTGACCGGTAGGTTAGCTTGCTTCTGGGGTCTGGTCGATCAGGACTGGGCGAGATGGGCCAGACACACCCTGGAAGCCCTCCCGCAGTCCTTCCCCAGCCTCGATCGATTGTGCACCGGTATGAGGGACCCACCAGTCCACGAATCCGTGCACCAGGCCTCTAGTTTTTAAATATTTGGTAAGTTGCCAGATTTGTATCTTTCTCTTTTAATTTTGAAGAGTATAATTTCAGTATAACATTTACATTGTAAACTGGAGCAGGAAAGTTTGATTTATGTTTGAGGGAAAATAGTTAGCATTTTAGTGTCAGTCATTTATGTAAAACTAGAGGCCCAATGCACAAGATTTGTGCACTTGGTGGGGGGTGTCCCTCAGCCCAGCCTGCACCCTCTTGCAGTCTGGGAGCCCTTGGGGGGTGTCCGACTGACGGCTTAGGCCCTCTCCCCCTGAGGAGCGGGCCTAAGGTGTCAATAGGACATCCTTAGCGCTGCTGCAGAGGCAGGAGAGGCTCCTGCCATCGCCGCTGCGCTCACCACAGCTTCTGGCTGAAAGGCGCTCCCCCTGTGGGAGCCCAGTGACCACTAGGGGGCAGCTCCTGAATTGAGCGTCTGCCCCCTGGTGGTCAGTGCACATTATAGTGACTGGTCCTTCCGTTGTTTGGTCGATTTGCATATTAGCCTTTTATTACATAGGATTAGTAAATTTAATACATCAATGGAAAAAAGTTAGTTAAAAATAGGAACATTTTATCCTCGAAGACTTTCTGTACATGATGTTATAACATTTTTAAAAAGTGGCCAACCAAAGTTATAGAACAAAATGATTTAGTTCACATTTGTGGCAAGAAAGTTAAAGGGATATGAAGTAAGGAAACCTTTACAGTTTTTCACTTCTGTGAAGGAGGAGGAATGCAGAGATGGGACAAAAGATGGGTAGGGCCACTTACCTAAATAAGTAGGTGATCTACATAGTTATTATTAAGGCAACTAAATGTATGCGACTGAAGGGCCTAAAATTTTACTTTTCTATTGTTTTTAACTTTCTGATGTTTAGAGTAAAAGGAATTTAATTAAAATGAATTTTAAGGTGCTCTTTGAGCAAAAGCATACTACCTCCTACTTTACTTTCCATACTACAGAATTTGAAAGTAGTGAGCTTTTTTTCAAACTAGATTTCTGAAGTGTATTGACTTTTTTTTTGGAATGGTATTACTTATGAATATGTAGTATTTTTGAAGTGTTTAATTTTTCACTGGGTGTTTATCTTATTTGGAATTTCTCTGACTTGGTATTTTATGAATCATCATTTAAAGATTAGAATTGGGAAGTTAGAGATAACATACAAGCTAATTTAGAACAGTGCTTTTGCTGCTTCTCAAAACATTTTATACATGTGCTTTTCCCTGCATGGTGAAATTTTGATTATTTTTTTTTTTGTGCTTTAATCTGTATTGTTTATATTTTCTAACAATGCGCATGTTTCATTTTTATAATCAGAAAAGTGAAAACTATACATTGAGGCCAAAGAAGGCCAGTGAAAAAGAGTATTTGAAGTAAAGTTGTTTGACCAAATAATTTTTTCTTTACAGACACGTCAAGTTCTTGAAGAGCTGACTGAGTTGCCGGTTATGGTGGAGCTAGCCAGTGATTTCCTGGATAGAAACACGCCAGTTTTTCGAGATGATGTTTGCTTTTTTATTAGTCAGTCAGGTATGCTAATTTTAAAGACTTGGCGAAAAGGAAAGTCATTCTTTCTAAGAATTATCTTGGCAAAAATTGATATTTAAAGATAAAATGATATTGCAAATGGCAAATAGAGATTTATTTTGATATGTGATTCTTAATGAATTAGTAAAATAAATACGTTTTACACTCAAAGAGCTGAATTTCCAAAGACAAAGAAGGAAAGGAGATCCTAAAAAGTAGGATCCTGTTAAAGTTTTGCTAATTTATTATTTTAAGTGCATATTTTAAATTTTATTTAAAACGAATGATTTTTTGTTGAAAGTGTAGTCAGTTTTTTGTTTTTACATCTAAAAAAGCATATATTAACTGCTGTATGTGTTACTTTTGTCTTCCTTTATACACAGGTGAGACAGCAGATACCCTGATGGGTCTTCGGTACTGCAAGGAGAGAGGAGCTTTAACTGTGGGGATCACCAACACTGTCGGCAGTTCCATATCAAGGGAGACAGACTGTGGAGTTCACATTAATGCTGGGCCCGAGATTGGCGTGGCCAGCACAAAGGTAAATTCTTGACTTAGTTCTTATGTAATTATTTAATCATAGTGTTGGTGAAATAGACTAATCCATATCTTGTATTTAAGTTGTTAGCACTTATAGAACTCAGAGTTTACTAATTATTGTAAGACTTAAGGGTCAACAATAGATAAAACACTTGTTGTCCCCTTCATCACTTCCATATTAAGAATTTGAAAGGACAAATGTATATAACATAAGTCCGTTTTGAAACGGTCTCTGCTACTATCCCCATTCATCACTTATATCCTCCTGCCAGGTACATAGGTAAGTATAATGTTCCCTTCTTTTATTATATATAGTAGGGAATTAGAAAAATAACAGATTAGAAACATTCAGTTTAATTCTAATAATTTTTGAAATTTTATTTACATATTTATAGTTTCTAATAAATATGCCAAAATATACATACTACCTTTGAAAGCTTGTAAAGAAGAGTACACCTTTAGTATAGAATTTGGAAATTAAAGAAATAAAAGTGAGTATTATATAAATGTCTGTTTTTCTTTAGATACTACATTCGTGGAGATTTAAAAGCACCCTCATTTTTTTTAAGGCCTAGTGAGACTACTTTGCTCTTTGAAATTGGGATGTGCATAATATGTTAATAAAAAATAGGAATCTTAGAAAGTGTATATATGCAAAGATGTTCTCTCTCCACAAATGTATTACTTTTATGATTACAAAATTTCAGTTGTCTAATTTTCTGCTTAAGTTCAGTATTTCTTGCTGATTGTCTGGTAAGATGCCTAGGTATTGGTGGATTTGATTCTAATGAAAGGCATGTGAAAGATGATATTAACATACATAACCACATTTAAATATTTTTTTCTTTTAAAGAACCTCATGGAGAATTTTTTTGTGGAAAATTCGTTCTTCTTATGTAAAAACTCTGATGAGTGTTTGTTGGTTACTTGGATACTGCCAACACTATACTTTATAGAAAGCTGAAACCTGAATTTTCTCTGTGTGATAATTAAAACATGTAAGATATTTGTGCTTGGGTTTCCAGTCTGTGCCTGAATAAATAACCAACTGCTCTAAACAGGAGCTTGTGGATTTCTGGACAGCTTTGATTGGGGATTGGAATCCCAGGGCCCTTTTATTCACAGTGCATTGTGAAACAAGGGGTTCATGTGGTATACGTACATCCATCAATTGAATGGATGCTATTTTGTTGACTTACTTTTTATTAAATCTTTCTTAAACTGTGAGTTGCCATGGGAAATACAACTTTTTAAAATTTCTAATTGTATAGCTTATGAAAACTTTAATTTTGCTCAACATTTTGTTACAATAATTTTCAAACATATAGCAGAGTTAAAAAAATTTTACATTAACAATTCATATACCATTACCTAGATTTTACTGTTAACCTTTTTTCTATAGCTTTATTGAAATATAATTTTCATATTATAAATAACACTCACCAGTTATTAAATGTATAGTTTTAGTAAATTTGGATCTGTAACTATCATCACAATCCAATTTTAGAATACTTACTCACTTGAAAGTTTCTTTGTGCCCGGTATAGTCAGTCCTCATTTCTACCCCTCAACCTCAGACAACTACTATTGTATTCTTTTATATCATTTTCTAGAAGGTTCTTAAAAAGGGAATTATATAATACATGTCATTTATAGCTGGCTTCTTTCATTTAACATGAGGTTTTTGAGATTTATTCATGTTATTTATATCAGTGGTTCTTTTTTTGTAAGTCCTTTTTTAAAAAAAAATTTTTATATTGAAATCACTAGCTTTATAGGAAGTTGTAAAGATAGTACAGAGAAGTCCATGTACTCTTCACACAGTTTCCCCTAGTGGTTACATCTTACATAAGAAAATAAGTATCTTTTTATAGTACATACTTTAATTTCTTTAATAAAATAACTCCTTTAAAAATATTAATAAGTATGGTAATTTAGTCTCATTTAATTTTTCTTGGATTCTAAAGTAATTTTGTGTTCTTTAATAGCCTTAGACAATCTTGAAAAGTTTAGTCATAGACCATTTCTGAATGGCAAATATGTTAATGGATGATCAAAGAAGCTCATCATTGGGGGCCTTGTGATGGAGCTAGCACAAGAATACTGTAATCTTGATTATGAATTCCCAGCTTTGCCTGAGAAACTGTTAGGGTTAGAAAGATATTACTAACTTTCTCATAGTATCATACCATAGATAATTTGATATATCTGTAGGAATTGATGGGTATAAATGTACAGGTTCAGTGATTTTGTATGTTATTGTAGGTGTTTAGAATTTCACCACCATACTGACTTTTGTTGATTTAAAAAAATAAACCAATATAACTTTATTTTTGGCTGAGTAAAAAGTAAAACCAAGTTTAAAAGTTCAGAGTCAACATTTTTCTGGTAAATTCTTTCAAACCTCAATAAATTCAAAATGTGAGGTATAACTTATTTTTCTCAGAATTGGTTTCCTGGTAGTTATTGAGGAAATGAAAAACATGAAACTGAAATTAAGCTGTGATAGGAATTCAGTGGAAAAATAGGTGCATTAAGATTATTCTGTTTAATATTTGTACTTAAAAACCAGTGTTTAGATGTTTCAGGTCCAAACAAAGAAACATTACTCTAGAGAATAACATTTTTAGTTATGGTATAGAGAAACTGAAATACTCATTATCTGATCAGTTTGGATTAGAAACAATTTAGGTATCCCAGGCATGCAGGATACTGCGTCTCTCCCTCTGTCCTGATAATATAATTTGTGATTAATTGGCTTATTGTAAAGTAAACTTCAGTAGGAAGAGGTAGACTGGGAGGAACTGAAATTTAGAATATAGATGTGCTGGAGGCAAAGAACTGCAAATCCACTTCAGTGCTATAGAGGAAAAAAAAATCCCAGTGCATCAGTAGAATTCATAGCAGCACAGGGACAGGTAGCTGTATGTGGAGGAATATCTGAGCAGCTGATAGCTGGGAGGTCTACTAAGAGGAAATAAGGAATTTCATTGAACTATTGGGAAGGTAAGGAGCATTGGTAGACTGATTTTGTTATATTGGAAGCTCAATATCCACATTCTGACAGGAAAATATTCACTAATGAAGTGATTCCTTATCCAGAGAAGAGTAACAGAAAGTCAGCATATAATCCACATACAAAAAAACACTCAACATAAATTTTCTAAAGTTAAAATTATAGATAACATTATAGCTGACCACACCGCAGTAATCCTAGTGATTGAATAATAAATGTGTCAGGAAAAACCTCAAATACCTGAAACATTAAAACATTCCTCTAAATAACTGTTGAGTTAAAATGATATCAGAACTACTATTTTAAAAGGCTTAGAAGAAATAATGATAATGAACATTGTGAGTAAAAGTTTAGAGTGTGTGGCCAAATTTATAATTAGAGGTAAATTCATAGCATTAAATGCTTATCTTTAAAAAATGAATTAAGTATTTAACTAAAGAAGTTAGAAAAAGGAAACTCAATAAAGCAGTGGAGTTAAATAATAGAGAAAAGTGAATGAAGGAACTGCAAAACGGAAAGCTTCAGGACCTTCACCTTAGAGGGCCCTTGCTGTTCTTCTGGAATCTTCCTAGGATTTTATCTGTATTACTGTGAAGTAAAAAAGGTGGCCTTAGACTAGAATCTTTTTCAACATGATGTTTCACTGTGAGTACAATGAGTTAGGATTGGCTCTCTGTGAAACATATTTGCTATCCCAGTTCTAGGAGTTCTATCCAGTTTAATAGGAAAAAATAAGTAAAACAATGGGAAAGGAGAAATAAAATTCTCCTTAGTTGCAATTGATATGATTGACTGCCTGTATAGAGCTCAAGAATATCAAGTAAAATATTTCTCAGTGCTTTATGTAAGACATATACAAAAATACTTTCTTTATAAACTTTTTAAAGTAGTGACTACTTAAAAATGATATAAATGTGTGTGTTTGGAGGGGGATTCTATTTTCAATGGCTATAAAAAACACTTTAAATAATTTTACCAAGAAATGTGTAAGGTGCTCCATAAATATTTGTTGAATATAGATGGTAACTGTATAACTTTATAGACTTTTAAATTCCTAACACAAATTGATGGAATACCATATTTCTGGATGGGAAGATTATTTTGTAAAAAAATGACAGATCTGTGAGACGGAATCAATAGTCCTGCAACATAACTCCAGTACATTAAATGAATATCTCAAACTAGTAGAGAAAGGGTGGGGTGAAATTGAAATGAAGGGAAAATTGGTTATTTATAAAAATAGAAAAACGTAAGTTAACACTTTGTACTAAAATTAATTTCAGGTGGTTTAAAAATGAAGTGAAAAAGTCAAATAAAATGGGCTCTGGCTAGTTTGGCTCAGTAGATAGACTGCCTGTGGACTGAAGGGTCCCAGGTTTGATTCCAGTCAGGGGCACATGCCCGGATCCCCAGTAGGGGGCATGTAGGAGGCAGTCAATCAGTGATTCTCATCATTGATATTTCTATCTCTCCCTCTCCCTTTCTTTCTGAAATCAATAAAAATATACTTTAAAAAAGCCAAATAAATGAAATGTTGAAAGTAAAAAAAAAAAAAAGCCAAATAATATGGGACAATGATAACAATAGAATTAAGAAAATATAATAATACTTAACTGATGTTAGGATGGAAGGACTTTAAATTTAAAAGTACTACATAAGAGTTTTAAAAAAATGAAACTTCTGTGTCAGTAAACACCATTATAAAAGGTTAAACCAAACTGTGAAAAAGTATTTGATACATAACAGTAAAGACCTTACAGCCAACTTTTTAAAAAGAATATATTTTTATTGATTGCAGAGAGGAAGGGAGAGGGAGAGAGGGATAGAAACATCAGTGACAAGAGAGAATCGCTGATTGGCTGCCCCCTTCTGGGGATCGAGCTCACAACCTGGGCATGTGCGCTTGACCATAATTGAACCCAGGACCCTTCAGTCCACAGGCTGACGCTCTATCCATTGAGCCAAACTGGCTAGGGCACGACCCACTTAAAAGGAAAAAAAAAAGGCCAAAGTTGAAAATAAGTGAAGAACAATGAAGTTAATCCTTAAAAGAAGAAACATAAATGGCTAACAAGCATGAATAAAAATCTTAATTTTTTTAGATTCAAGATGTATATGGTAAAGGAGTAGAAAGAGTCCATTGTCTATCAGTCAATGGTAAAAATTTGTTAAAAGGATAATTCTCGCCCAGACCGGTTTGGCTCGGTGGATAGAGCGTTGGCCTGTGGACCGAAGGGTCCCAGGTTCAATTCTGGTCAAGGGCATGCACCTTGGTTGCAGGCACATCCCCAGTAGGGGGTGTGCGGAAAGCAGCTGATCCATGTTTCTCTCTCATTGATGTTTCTAACTCTCTATTCCTCTCCCTTCCTCTCTGTAAAAAATCAATAAAATATTTTTTAAAAAAGAGGGTAATTCTCAATATTGTAAAGAATGTGAAAAAACAGTCATATCTTACATTTATATACAGCTAATGGGAATAAAAAAAGTCCCGGCAGCATGACTGCAAGTTTTAAAATATTCACAAGTCTGTAGTTAAGAAAAAAATTTTTTTGAATTAAAGTCTTAGTTCAAGCTTTCATCAATAAAAAGTTTGTTTTTAGCCTATATGTCAGACATTATGTTGATTGATTTATACTTGTCTCATTTATTCTCATGATTATCTTCTAAGTATTGTGCACTTTTAACAGATGGGCCATCTGAGGCCTAAAGAGATGGAAAAAGTTCCTTAAGATAATTACACACTAGTAAGTAAGAAAGAAAGCATTCTGTCTTGGGAAAGTATTTATTATGTCAAACATAAAAGCACGTTATAAAATTATACCTACTAAGAATTAATTTTCTAAACAATAAAAAGGAAAAACATACTAGAGATTAGAAGGCAGTATTCACAAAAGTTATTAATAGCATGTTATTAATGTAATTATTCCTATGGATCAAATGGCAGTTCCATTTTTAATTTTTTGAGGAAACTCCACACTGTTTTCCATAGTGGTTGTACCAGTTTGCATTCCCACCAACAGTGTACTAGGGTTCCTTTTTCTCCACATCCTTGCCAGCAACCAATCGATGTTTCTCTTTTACATCCATGTTTTTCTCCCTCCCCCTTCCCCTTTGTTCTTCTCCCCTCCCCTCTTTCTTACTCCTTCTCTCCATAAAATCAGTAGCATGTCCTTGAGTGAAGATTAAAAAAAAAGAAAATGGACAATATATGCTTATAAAACCAATGGGAATGTGTTTGCATATTTTTTAAATGAAAAACTCTAAGTTCTTAAAATACAACTGCTTTTTTGTGGTATTTTAGGCTTACACCAGCCAGTTTGTATCCCTTGTGATGTTTGCCCTTATGATGTGTGATGACAGGATTTCCATGCAAGAGAGACGCAAAGAGATCATGCTTGGACTGAAGCGGCTGCCTGGTACGAAGATGCTCTTATACTACACTTTTGTTGTCTAAGGGAGCCAGTAATGGGTGTCATTTTCTTCTTGTACTTGAAGCTGTGGCTTCTAGCTGTTTAGTCAATAAATCTTTCTACTTTTGCACCTTTGTATTTAAAAATTCCTCTCTGATATCACAAGGGAATGGAAACACTGGTCTTTTGTCAGTTGCTACCAATATATTATTGGTTTTATATTGGTTCGGTTAATTATCCTTTTTCATAGATGTTGCTAATGTTACTTCTTTTTTTTATTTTTATTTTATTTTATTGTTTAAGGTATTACAAATAGTAGTACATATGTCTCCTTTTTTTCCCCCCATTGACCTCCCCCAGGCCTCCCCTACCCCCTGGCACTTGCCTTCACCACCCCCTCGCCCCTGCAGTGTCTTGCATCTGTTGGTTGTGCTTATATGCATACAAGTCCCTCGGTTGATCTCTTACCCCCCAACCCTCCCCTACCTTCCCGCTGTAGTTTGACAGTCTGTTCAATGCTTCTTAGCCTCTGTCTATTTTTGTTCAACAGTTTATAATGTTACTTCTTAACAGATTTGATTAAGGAAGTACTGAGTATGGATGATGAAATTCAGAAACTGGCAACAGAACTTTATCATCAGAAGTCGGTCTTGATAATGGGGCGTGGCTATCATTATGCTACTTGTCTTGAAGGGGCACTAGTAAGTCTTCTCACTTATAATTTCAGTCTGTTGACTTATGGACCTGGTACATAGTCATACTTTTAGTTTGAATGAAATAGGTGAAACTTTTACAAGTGCTTTTGTTTTTATGCATTCTGGTTTGTTTGCCCTGAGAAGGTGTAACAATTTATACTTAATGAAAAAGTGAAAATAAAGAAGAGTACATTTTAGCATGATAGCTTGGGTTTAGCAAGTAGCTTTGGTTAATTGTCCAGATAGGACTGAAATAAAGATTAAGTTCTCTAAGTGTGGGATTTAATTCAGGCCAAACATTAACCAAGTAGAACAGTTACATGAGTATGTTCATGAGAATCTAAAATGTTGAAAAAGCCCTGGTTAGAATGTCAGCCCACACACCGAAGGGTCTTGGGTTCGATTCTTTGTCAAGGGAACGTACTGGGTTGGGGATTTGCTTCCCACCCCTGGTTGAGGCATGTGTGGGAGGCAATCAGTCGATGTGTGTCTCTCTCACATCGATGTTTCTCTCTCTCTTCCCCCACCCCCTTCCACTCTCTCTGAAAAGCAATGGAAAAAATATACTCAGGTGAGGATTAACAAAAAAATTTAAATTAAATTAAGTCTTGAAAAAGTCCTTGTAGGTCTTAAAACTTCTAGTCACTGTAGATATTATAGAAACAATGATCTGTTAGCCTGTTGGCTATATTTATAGATCGGTGGTCCTTTAATACTTTTGGATAAATAGCGACTTCAGATATCTAATATTTGTGTAATAATTAAGAATGGGTTTTTGAAAAAGAGACTGAAGACTAATCTAGTTCTTTTCTATTAGAAAATCAAAGAAATCACTTACATGCACTCTGAAGGCATCCTCGCTGGTGAATTGAAGCATGGTCCTCTGGCTTTGGTGGATAAGTTAATGCCTGTCATCATGATCATTATGAGAGATCATACTTATGCCAAGTGTCAGAATGCTCTTCAGCAGGTGGTTGCTAGGCAGGTAAGTCAGGGGCTGCTGTGAGGACACCTTGGGGAATCTAAGAATTGGGCCATTAAAGCTTAATTGAATTTTATGACATTTAAAGTGATAGACCAGGGCTCAATAGATAGCTTACAAAACATGTTGAGGTTTACATGTGAGGAATTAGATTCTCAGAGTTTTGACAGGACCCAGCTCATAGATTTCACAATAGGCAGAATTAAGACCAAAACCAAAGTCTGGCTCTCCAAATCCTGTCCTCTTTAATTAGCTTATGCTGCTCCCTTTTAGTTTAATACGTATTCTTACATGTGTATTTCAGGAGGAACTAGATTTTATATTAAAACTACTGGTGATGTGCTTAACTGAGTTTTCCTCTGATCATTTGGCTTTATTTATAAAGATACTTTTATAATATGTAATATATAATATATAATCAAAAGATACTAATCTCTGCTCACAGTGTAGTTGTTCGGAACTTGGGTTTTGAAGGCAGGCAGACCTGGATTCAAGTACAGATGGTCTCTGGCTTATGGTGGTTTGACTTAGGATTTTTGGACTTTACAATGGTATGGAAGTAATATGCATAATAAATTACGTGAGATATTCAATACTTTGTTATAAGATAGCCTTTGTGTGAGATGATTTTTCTCAACTGTAGGTTAATATGTGTTCTGAGCATGTTAAAGGCAGGCTAGGTTGATCTAGGTTCTAGGATGTTTGGTAGGTTAGGTGTATTAAATACATTTTTGGCTTATATTTTCAGCTTATGATGGGTTTATAAGTAGAGGAGCATCTGTATTGAGCTTGGTGTTTCTTAGTTGTATGAGCTTAAATTAATTACTAATTCCCACAGAACTTTAATTTCCTTGACTGTGAGATCAATCTGACTCATATAGGATTGTGAGTTTAAATAAGTCTGTGTTAGTGAGGCCACATGTGAATTATTGAATGTAAAATTTGCACATTCACTTGCTACAGCTCTTTCTTTGTTTACTTGTGATTGTGTATGTGGCTTTCTTTCCCAGGGACGCCCAGTGGTGATTTGTGATAAGGAAGATACCGAGACCATTAACAACACAAAAAGAACAATCAAGGTTCCCCACTCAGTGGACTGCTTGCAAGGCATTCTCAGTGTGATCCCCTTACAGTTGCTGGCTTTCCACCTTGCTGTGCTGAGAGGCTATGATGTAAGTGATGGAGCACTGTAGAAATCTGGGGCTGGCTTTTTACCTGAGTACATTCTAATAGTTTTCCTTCTAAATATTTAGCAATAGCATTTGACAAATCCATTACACACACACACACACACACACACACACACACACACACACACACACAATATATACTAGAGGCCCAGTGCACAAAAATTTATGCACTGGGGGGGGGCGGTTCCCTCAACCTGGCCTGCCCCCTCTCACAGTCCGGGAGTCCTCAGGGGATGTCCTACTCCCGCTCCCCGCTGGGCGGGAGGCAACTGGGCCGATCAGGGGAAGGCGCCACCCCCATCACCCTGCTGCTGCTGTCACTGCCAGCCGCTGCGGCTCACAGCTGCCTGAGCCCCAGCCCTCACAGCCACTGAGCTGCTTCAGCTTTGTGGGAGGACATCTGGAAGACGTCTGGTCTAATTAGCATATTACCCTTTTATTAGTATAGATATAACATCTATATATATAAAAGGCTAAGTGACCAGCTGACCGACTGGCCGGCCGGTAGCTATGACACAAACTGACCACCAGGGGGCAGATGCTCAATGCAGGTGCTGCTGAGCGACAGCAACTTTGCAGAGTGCCCTCTCACACTCTGGGACCCCTCGGGGGATATCAGACTGCCAGTCTTGGCCCCATCCCTGCAGGCCAGGCCGAGGGGCCCCACTTGCCAGAGGGACCCCGCTCACTCCGCAGATGCCCTTTGAGCCCCAGTGCTGCCCCAGGTGTGCCAGCCAGGGAGGGACTGCAGGAGGTTGGCTCCAGGGTGTGTCCAGCCCGTCTCACCCAGTCCTGCTCCTGCCAGCCACCTTCTAATTAATTTCCTTTCAATGTGCATGAATCCGTGCACTGGGCCTCTACTATATATATAATATCTATCTATCACCTGTTACATTTACTTGGCCCAATTTGTAGGTTACATCATAACATTTTCTTACCATAGAACTTAAAAGGAATCTTGGAGATTATAGCCACCATCAGAGATTACCCTCTTAGGGAATCTCTGCCTGTTTTTATTCTGTTTCCTAATTCTTTGTTTAGGACTATCTCACAGGTTTCAGGACTTCTACAATTCTTTGTCCCCCAGTCATTGTGACAACCAAAACATCCTGCCCTTACACTTTGCTGTCCCCTCGGAGGCCTGCCACCTCTGGAGGCCATCACTGGACTCTTCCTGTGCAGAACTGGCTTCTTTAGGATTCTTTTTCCTAACTGATTTCAAGACTTTTAAAGAGACATTATGTGACTGTATTTTCTAATCTGATTCTTTGTAGTCTATAGTAAAGATGGTTAATGAATAAGTTTTCTGTTTTTACAAAAATAACTTGCTTATAGAACACAACCACCTCCAATCTGTATAATCTCTTTAATCTTGTCCCCTACCCCCCCCCCCCCCCCTTTTTTTTTTGGCAGGTTGATTTCCCCCGGAATCTTGCCAAATCTGTAACAGTAGAATGAGGAGCATCTGAAACTCTGGGCGATTAAGCAACACAAGACACCTTTTGTATTTAAAATCTTGATTTAAAATATCACTCCTTTATTTATATATCAGTTATAATTCCACTAAATTTGTGCTTTTTGTGAAATTACCTCATATTTTTCCAGTAATTTGTGGGGAAGTTTGAAAAATGGAATCATTATCAGAAACAGTTAGCTTTCATTTTCTTTTTTTCAATCATCACCTGAGGATCTTTTATCCGTTGATTTTTAGAGAGAGAGTGGAAGGGAGGGAGAGAAAGCTTTCATTTTCTTTTTTTTAATCATCACCTGAGGATCTTTTATCCATTGATTTTTAGAGAGAGAGTGGAAGGGAGGGAGAGAAGGAGGGAGGAGAGAGAAGATGGAAGAGAGAGAGAAAAAAAAAACGTCAATGTGAGACAGACACACATCGATGGGTTGTTTCCCATACATGTCCCGACCAGGGTGGGGATCAAACCTGTAACCTAGGTACGTGCCCTTAACCGGGAGTCAAACCTCTGACCCTTTGGTCCTTGGGCTGACATTCTAATCACTGAGCCAAACTGGCCAGGGCTAGCTTTCATTTTCTTTAAAAGATGCTGGGTGTTGGATTTCTGGACTCTGCTTCAATCTGAGAGGATTGTGTATTTTAAAAGTAATTGGCATTTGTTTTACCATGCTTTTATTCATTCAGACCAATGAAAGAGTAGTGCATTTATTAGAAGATCTAAAGCCAGTGGCAATGTATTTGGACATTTGATTACGGTTTTGCTAAGTTATATATAAAGACAAGATGCTATGATTTATTTTGAAATTTGTTAGTGTACTTAAAAACAAAAAACTTTTCTTGGTGGGATTTCTACCTAAGTTAAGTTAATCTTAGTCTCTCAAATTTATTGTTTGTTATCTATAGGTCAGGGTAGTTTAGGAAGCTAAATAGTATCGTAGTGCATTGGTTTTCTCCAGCCCTTAACAGAAAATATTTGTATAATTTCATAGCACAAACTAAATTTGAGCTGCTTTGGACAGCTAACAATATAATTTTAAATTTGAAGATGGAATATATATTTATTGGATTTCCGACTCTGTTTTTTCATCTCTTAAAAATGGTTTTTATTTTCTTATATCTGTAGTTTTTTAATCACAGCTGAATGACATATTTTATCTTGTTCTTTGAAGTCACCACACAGAGTTGTCATCAAATGTCTCAAATTAAATCAGTATTGATATATTCAGAATTCGCTTCAACTTTGTCCCAAAGAATTTCCTGCAATTAATTTAAAGTCCCTTCACTACCTTCTATAAAACTAGTACCTTCCTGCGAGTCTGGAAGCTCTTTGCAATAGTTTGGAAGATTTGCAAGTCTATTGACTAATCATTTGACTCTATATGGTGGGCTATGCTTAGAAAAAACTATGTGCTTTACACTGAAATTAATGAAGGATTGCGTCAAATTCAGTACAAGCAAACCTTGGGAATATTGCGGGTTTGGTTCCTGACCACCGTAATAAAGCCAGGATTGCAGTAGGCGAGTCGTAATCCTTTTGCTGGTTGAGGGTCTGGCCTTCAGTTTGTAAACAACATAACATCTGTGAAGCACAATAAAGTGAAGCACAAAACGTGAGGTGCCTGTATTACTTCCTGGGGATTGTTCTCTCTGCATTTTTTGTGTTCTGCCCCTTCAGTTCATTTAGGAATGAAGAAGATGTAAAGACATTGGTGTTGAGGCGAGTTTAGCTGCTTAGTGCCAGAAATGGAACTTGACAATTTAGATTAAAATATTTAGAGTAGACTATGAGTTTGATACTGAAAAAGTTGTAATTTCTTCACGGAGCTTTTTTGGCCACATCTTGGGGATTTTATAGCAAAGGGTATTTATGTTTTGGTTAAGTCCTCTTTCAAAAGTTTTCACTTTAAAATTGTGAAGGTAAGGTACTTAGCAAATAATGTAAGCCCAGTCTATTCCTTTCTCTGTTTTTGAACTTGATGAGATGAAGATTTTCTGACAGCAATTGCTGCAAGAGAAGCATAGAATTCTGCTTGTGTATCACAGAAAGGGCATGTGCCCTGACTGGGAATCGAACCTGGGACCTCTTGGTAATGCTCAACCACTGAGCAACACCAGCCAGGCCATAAGCCCTTTTCAGGCCTGGAGTTGTGTAGCATTTAACACAGGGCCCAGGAAATGATAGTTACTTCAGAGTCAGCTTTTTGATCTTTCTTTAATCACTTATGCCATAGGAATAAATGAGAAGAGAGAAATAATATTAACTGATTTTCGTTTGTTATAACTATGTCAACAGCCTGTTATGGGCAAGTCACTATGCTAGGAACTGAAAGGTGCATCTTGTTTAAAGCAAAGCCCGTTTGTCTCCAGGTAGGCTCATCACAAGTGAAGACTGGGGTCATTGAAAGGGTAAGAGAGTACCCTTAATGTTAAGTGCTATAAGTGGATTTCACTTAAATCATGATCCAAGTTTTGGGGTATATCATGCTCAGAAGAGGTGAAGTGCATTTTGTAGAGTAAGCTGTTACCACAGGCTATATGTAGATCCTTGTATCTGCGGTTCACTAAGGAACAGCACTCATTAAATGCAAAGGTGAAAAACAAGCATCAGTACTACTAAAAGGGAACTGACACAGGGTAATGTGCAGAAGGGGCTGTTGGGCAAGGGAGCTAATACAGATTTTCTTTCTTTAGTTTTTTAGAAAATTGCTTCTGAGATGGTATTGTCTTATCCTTTTGAACACATACAGGTCCCTTGGCCTGAGTTAATTATGCAGATGGAAGGAAAGGAGCCTTTTTCTTGGTTCCTTGGTGATGTTCCTTTGATTCTTCTGTTAACTCTTCAAGGGAGGAAAACCAGCTGAAAGTTTGCTTTAACAAACATTTTAAGAAATCCTTTGGGGTTAGTTTTTTCTCTTATTTTTTTAATTAGAATATGCTATAACAATAAAAGGGAAACACTAATGTTAATTATGGTATGATACAACCTAAGTGATTTTTCTGAAAAAGTACAATGTCATTGAAAAGTGTTTATTTCAAAAGAATTCATAGTTCCCATTGAATTTGTGAAGGCCAAAGAAATTGAAGGAAATGGTCAGTAAAGAAAGATATTGTAGTCTAATATCCACACATTTTGTAGATTTTTCTATACCAGGATATTAGATAGACTGTTTTACCCATAGAAGCATATTTCGGGGTGGGGGTGGCGAGGGGGAGGTCAATGGGGAAAAAAGGAGACATATGTAATACCATATGGAAAACTTTAAACAACAAAAAAGCATATTTCAGATTGCTTAGTTTTTAGTGTTAGAATCGAATTTGGAAGTTATAACCCTTAAATCATTTTTCTTCCACAATATTTAAATATTGTTACTATATCAGTATTTCCTTGGCTTTATTAATTTAACCACATCTTCAGATCTGTGACATGGGAACCAATAGGACTGATAATATTAGATTTGAGCCAATAATATCCAGGCTTAAAATAAAATCCTAAATAGCAAGATGGTAAAGTTATAACATATTAACTTGTAGGTCTATAATAGGCTGATATAAGTGTTAGGGAATATACCATAAATAATGGCTAGTGAGAACATTTTAGGAAATTCTTGAATTACCTTTCTTACCATACTAGTTTTCAGAATGAATATAGAAATGATCCTGTTAGCTTTTTAAATGTTATGTGATTGAAATTTTTTTGTTTAAATAAAACTTTTTGTATTTGTTTATATTGCTCGTGAGCTGGAAATTTTAGAATCATCCTTGCTGGTTTAGTTTCTGTTCTTTAAAATGAATGTTTAGTTAACTGAGCCAATTGGTCATTTCTTCCTCATGCCTTGTAACTCCAGTCATTCTAATCCTGAACTGTGAATAAATTACTAAAACTTTCTGAGAATTGCATTTTGAAGCAATTTGCTAATATTTGAAATGCATACATGTTTGTAATTGTGTCAAAGATTGTATTGTACTAAGAATGTAGCCAATGTTTACTTGAATTGTTAGTAAACATTTCTGATGTTAAAAGTTTATTCGTTATTGTTGCTTTTAGAAAGAAGACATGATTGCATTTAATATAATCAAAAGTGACATGTCTCCGCTCCAACTTCACAGGTGTTTTAGAAAGGCTCTACTCTTCTGATGTCATACTGCATGCATGTACTTTCTCAAGTCTTAAAATTTTTTTTGTCATTGTTGCTTCTAGCAAATTGCCAGGGTACACAGTGATCAGTAACTTTAATTGGTAGTTGCAAACGAAGGATATTTAAAATGGGTGAGTAGCAAGACAGCATGCCCAGTTGACTCTTGAACAACACGGGTTTGGGCTGAATTGCAGATTTTTTTCAATGGACTATAAATGTATTTTCTCTTCCTTATGATTATCTTCATAAAATTTTCTTTTCTCTAGATTCCTTTATTATAAGATAGTATATAATACATAAAACATACAAAGTTTGTGTTAATCAACTTTGTTACTAGTAAAACTTCTGGTCAACAGTAATTATTGCGTTTTTTGGGAATCAGAAGTTACATGTGGCTTTTTGACTGGGGTGGAGAGAATTAGCACTCCTTCCCCCCATGTTGTTCAAGGGTCAATTGTACTCCAAATTTAAAGTTTCTGTAGATCTGGCAATTTGTTCATCATAGAACAAAGATTCCTTTTACAGGATCCTGTTATAAACAGCAAGCCATAATCTCTGTCTTTAGTGCTCACAGCACTTGCTGTGTTTTGCAGAATACCGGTATACCAGGGTGGTTTGAATGAATAGATGTGCTGTTTTGCCTGCCCAGAGAATTGAGCCCAGTCTCTTGTCTCTTTCACTCTGTGGTGCTCTGTAGCAAAACGTAGAGCTGCCACCCAGCAGGGATCGTTTTTTCCACAGGACACATTTTTGACATAAAATTCAGCTTTACTCCTAAGTGAGTAATTGTCTTTAAATCCTCCTCAATTGGCTGTCAGTAAACGGTGTGCTTATTAAAGGCCAAGAAACAATTTCCCTGAGTTAAGAGGCCACTTTTCATTGGAGTGGCATTTAGGGAAAAACAAATTCTTTCATTTTTTTTGGATGAGGAAACGAAGTTCTTAATGAGTTTCATTAATCCAAAGGTAAATAGTTCTCCCTCACTTAACAAGCATCCCAGAGCTATAAACTAATCTTATAGTAATATCAGAGGAGATGCCAGGTGATAGGTCATTTAACTAGACTCATTCCCTGGAAATATATATGTAACGAGATAAGTTCATTTTTATCTTTTTGGTTAG